ATTCTAATGTGAGTCTATTACACACTACATGGGCCTCAGCTTACAAATATCAGCTTTATTTCCAATGCAGTGTGTTGATCATAAAAATTTTATACTTTTTCACTTTATCTTATTAATTAATTATAAAGGCTAGCAATAGAAAATGTCAAAAATACACAAGAAGACTATAAAAGTACCATCATATTCTAATGTCTTATCACTGAGCATGCATATATATATATATATATATATATATGCATGCTCAGTGATAAGACATTAGAATATGATGGTACTTTTATAGTCTTCTTGTGTATTTTTGACATTTTCTATTGCTAGCCTTTATAATTAATTAATAAGATAAAGTGAAAAAGTATAAAATTTTTATGATCAACACACTGCATTGGAAATAAAGCTGATATTTGTAAGCTGAGGCCCATGTAGTGTGTAATAGACTCACATTAGAATGAAAAGGTTTTATTCTTTGTCAAAATGATTTAAACTGATATTGGCTAAAAACATTTCATTGTATAAACAGACCAGACTAAGGTAAAGGAACTGCTTGCAGTTAAAATTATGGACTAAATTAAAAATCATGATGCCTGTCAGATGTCATGCAAAGAGCTGATAAGATTTTATCAGCTCTGTTTAAATCTTATGAATTCTTCAGATTTATTTACTTGTAATATTATAAATATATGAAAAAAATTGTTTTTATAACATTTTAAAATTTCTCATAATTTTTTTAGTGAAAAGGAAATTATAGATTTTCACAAAGTTCAAGGACTTAGAGGTGTATATATTGCAACTCAGCTGAAAGAAAATGTATCATCTAGTTCATCATTTGAAAATATGGTTTCTGTTATTACTTTTGATAAAGGAGGAAAGTGGCAAAATTTAGCAGCACCTAAAGTTGATAAAAATGGAAACCTATTGCTGTGCCAACAGGTATTGAAATTGTAATAAATTAAATTAATTGAAGTTAAGTGATGATTATTATTATTTTCTTTTATTATTGTAATATTCTCAGTTTTAACTGTTACTATATATCAACACTTATAATGAAAGTGTAAGTCTTAGTTACTTATTAATGATTAGTAATTTCTTTGAAAAAAATTCTATTTGAAAAATTAGAAAGTATTAAACTAACTAATATGTATAAATAATTTTTATTAAAGAAATTTATGCCACTTCAGACCTGAATGCAAATATTTTTGTTGACTTTCTGGTAATTAGAGATTATAATATAAATCTGAGATTGTGTTACCCTAATAAAATTTTTAAATAATATGTTTTATGAAATTTATAGTTATACAAAAAGGTTACAAAACAGCAAAACTTTTCTTATTTGTTAACTTCATTATTAAATTCATATACAGTAGGTCGTTAATTTAATGGACTAATTGGGAAAGAGGTATCTGCTATTGCAAAAAATTTATTAAATCAAATATATTTTAAAAACTTTTTATTTTTTTAAGCATTATTATTATTATAAAATTTTATTCTTAATAATAACTAATAATGAATAATTTATATTTTCAAACAGAGTAAAGGATGTTCATTACATGTTAGTCAGAGGTTTAACCAGTTATATTCTAGAACAAGAACCCCTACAATTTTATCACGTGAATCAGCAGTAGGAATCATCATGGCATCTGGTATGTCAATAATCTTTAATATTTGCAGGGAAATTCTAAAAAATATCAAGTTTTATTTACAGTCAATGTATTTAAATTTATTTATATATCCAAGAAATGAAAATTATCAAGTAATTTGAGAATATACAAAAAGAGAGCTATTTAACATGTACAGTAGAGCATCAATCATCTGAAAATAAATTATCAAAAATCAAATACAGTGGTACCTCAGGATACGAACTCTCCAGCATATGAAATTTTCAGGATACGACATGAAATTTGGACAAATTTTTGCTCTATGATACGAACAAAAACTCACCATACGACGTTACATTAGTTTGCAGTGCCATTTTTTATTCACTTCTGTTCATTGGTCTCAGTTCGCGTGTTTGCTTCGTCATGGAAGGATGTCGCTCAATAAAGGAAATCTTGAGATATTATCAGAAAGTGACTTGATTTTATTGAAAAGAAACATTCCGAAAAGGTTCACACTGGCCATATTGCTGCTCAGTTTAATGACATTTGCCTAAGTCATTTTAGAAACATTTTAAAAAGTAGGCAAAGCCAAACCTCTTTGGATAGATATTTTACCAAGCGACCTCTATCCAGTGAAAGTGCTGGTGGAAGTGAAGGAAAGAAAGCAAAAAGCAGTGAATAAAAATTTTAAAAAATTATATAAAACAACACTATTTTTTTAATCTTTTCTAAGTTATTTTTAAGTTATTGTTACATTATGTTATGTAAGTTAAGTTTTAGTATCATTTCCCTTCTCCCTCTCTTCTGTCACCAGTTTACACCACCACCGTCGTCTATCCTCAAAGATAAAGTGCAAATAAAACTACATTTTTTTTTATCAATTATTATTTTATTATGGTTTATATATACATTTACAACTACAAAATGCATTTTTTAGTGTTTTCCTTACTATAGTTTTTTTTTTTTTTAATGTACTACTTAGTTTTAATTTGAGTGTTTTTCATGTTAGAATGAATTATTTGGTTTTACATGTAATTGTATGGAGAAAAATGATTCACCTTACATCATTTTCATGATACGATCTCAGTTTCGGAACGGATTAATTCCGTATCCTGAGGTACCACTGTAACTAAAATAAGAACCTGGAAACCTAATTTCAGAAATTCTGACAATGATTGTGAGCAATCTTCTGTAAGCCCCATATTGAGTTTTTATTATCAATACTAAAGTTAGGTTTTATTTATTACAATACAAATAGAAAAGCATGATTAATGAATTACAGACTTTTAATGCATTGAATTCTTTACTGTGCCTATGCATAATGAAGCATTTGATGCATTAGAAGTAATATTGATATAGTTTGAAATGCAACCTGAAGCAATTTTTCAGTACGCAAGATGATTGCTTGATCAAATCAAACCAAGAATTTAGCCAAGTTAAAAGAAAAAACTGTGCAAATAAATGCAAAATAAGTGCCGTTTAAAAAAACTTTAATGAATAATTTTTATTTGAGTACTATACTTCATTTAATATTAATTTTACTATTATGTACAGTAGAGCGTCGTTTATCCGAATCAATTGGGGACTGGGGTTGTTCGGATAACTTATTTTTCAGATAACCAATTATGTACGAAAAAATATATTAATTTATTATGTGTTGAAATTTTTCTCCGTTGCGTGTCGCTTTGCATTGAATTTTCGTCAATGTTAAGCCTAACAAAGACTATTGTATCGTTAAAAATTATTTTTTTATTTTGTACAAACAAAATAAATATATTGAAAAATATAAAACCAATAAAAAATTATACTTCAGAAGTTAATTTAGTATCAAAAATGTAAAATATTTGAGTAGCTGAAGACATAGCCAAAGATTACAGCACAGCACTGGTGAAAATTTAAATTTGTCGACTGGAATTCCTTCAGATAAACGATGCTCTACTGTATTTTTTATTTTGAATTCAAAGCTTCATAAGTATGCTGTAGATTGCAATGAAGGACTAGTGCTTGTTTTTAAGAACTAGCCAATTTTTTCATTTTTTCATATCATTTGTATGTATTTAATATGTATGCCTTGAATTTTTTTATTATTGTACTAGAATTAAAATGAATATTTTTATTTTAAGGCATTTATTATCTATTTATTTTTTCCCTATTGATTACAATTGGTTAAAAAAACAGCTTCTAAAAAATAGTTATCTAAAATTGTCTTGCCCTTATTATTTCAAATAATCAATGCTCTACTGTATTTTAATAGCACATTTCAGAAAATTCACACACTTAGCTAGATATTAAAAACTTATTATAAAAAACAGATTGAAACAATGTAACAGCAATCAAAATATATCTCTAAACATCTTTTTGGTTGCTGGGATTCTCTTTTATTTGGCTGGTTTAAAAGCATGCTGAAAGATAAGTTCATTAATGCAAGAGATGGCCAAATAAAAGCTGATCCCAGCAGCCAAAAACATGATTTGAGATATATTTTGAATTGTTCTGCTGAGGTTGATTTAGATTATTGAGTAACAGTATGCATTATATAACATAATTGATACAATAAATGATTGTATCTAGTCTCTCTCTATATATATAAACACTGGAAATTAATGAATTATCAGAAAATTTTTGAGAAAGTGAGAGAAGCAAGGAGAGGCAAAGCAAGCAGGGATTAGGGATTGGACCAATGGGAGTGAAGCAAGCAGGGATGGGTGTATTGTTCTATCTATCCTGTAGGAGGCTGAGCTAAGCATATTGAGGGGAGTTAGCTCTTCTTGGGGTGATTTGTCATAAAATTTTTGTTATGAATAATGTATATTGGTAACAAGTGGGCAAAGCCCATGGGGAAAGTGAGTGGGGAATTGAATTGTACAACGTTTTATAGAAATTGCTTCAGTCATTATCACATAATACTTGAACAGATGGACAGACATGAATTCAATTTTATATATATGTGCTGATACCTAAAAGCAAAAATTATTATTAAACCCTCTACTATACAACACAATTTCATTTAATGCAAATTTTCATTAAATAAGAACAATATTTCTGAATATATATGTAGCATTTATAACTGAAAAGTTANATGATTGATTTGATTTTTTTTTTTGCACTTTTCATAAAATATTTTTAAAAAATGGATGGTTAACAATAAAACAAGAAACAAATAAAAGAAACTAATAATTAACAACTTTATATATATATATAATTGTTAAGTGTAATTTGAATGTTCTTCATGATGAATATTGGATTAATTAGAGTTGCATAACAAGACAAGACAAGAAAAGAGGAAAATAAAATTATGTTACCAAAGTCTCAGGTCACATATTAGGATCTTGTGGACTACAAGTGGCAGGTTGCAGGATGCTTGTGACTGTGGAAATACATACATTGTATTTTTCTTCATATTGAATTTTAACAGTAATTTAATATTGAATTTTTTAGTAAACTAGTAATGACTTACATTTAGTATCTTATTAAGACAAACTACTGTAGAGCCCACTTGTAACAAAAGTGATTATTGCAAATTCTTGATATATGAATTTTTTTCTTGTCTCCTTGAATCTCCAATATTAAGAATGTATTTGAAATATTGGATATTACAAGTAATGTAAATTACCATATAGGATACTATAAAGTTTCAAATTCACTACATATGAGAAAGAGATTAGATCACAGATAAGGAAAGAAAGACATTTTTAATCTAAAGTTCATTATTCTCAGCTGTTTTATGGTGCAAATCTTAGAAAATTTTCTCCTTAATGAGAAACCATTCCTGGAAGTTGACTTGGTCATTCATTCCAAAATTCAGTTTCTTACAGTTTGTATCTGGCAGTCAGTTGTGTACATTACTGGGTGTGTCATATATCAACTTTTGGAATTTTTCCTTTCTTTTCAAAAATGGCTGGACAAGGACAAACAAATAGTGCTATGTTTATAATTGAAGGTGGAGGTCATCAGACTAGTTAGTGAAAAATGAATGAAAAAATGTGATATTGTTAAAAAATTTGACATTCCAATAGGTTTGCTTTTCACTGGAAGATAAGAATGAATTTCTGGGCAAATTCCATGGCACTGCTGTCCTAAACAGGAAAACGTTTGAAATGTCTGCAGCTTACAAAGATGTTGAAGATGATATAAAGGAATAGAAATGTGCCAATCAATGGACCTGTAATGAAAGGAAAGGCTAAGGTTTCACAAAGCTTTTGGGAAAACAAAGATTTTGAATCTGGAAATGGATGGCTCCAGTATTTTAAGGATAGATATATCCTTAAAATGCTGGAGACATCTTCAAGAATATTTGTGGAGAATGCACAGATGATGATGATTATGATAATGATGACATAGAATGGTTGAAATAAAAAAAAAAAAAAGGATTTGATTGACCAGTTTGACATCTACAACATTGATGACACTAGAATTTTTACCACCTGTTATCAGACAAGAAAATTTTGAAATACAGTGGAGCGTCGTTTATCCGAAAGCCAGTTATCAGAAACGTCGCTTAACCAAAAGTATTCCAGTCGGCAAATTTAAATTTTCGCTAGTGCTGTGGCACTGCAATCTTTGTCTATATCTTGAGCTACTCCAATATTTTTTTGTTGAGGTGTGTTTTTTAGCTGGCAGCACTGGCATTTTTGTGTGGTGTTTTTCTGAGCACTGTGTGTTGTGCTGAATCGAACGCTTTTGATACTAGATCAACTTCTAAAGTATAATTTTTTTGTTTTTATATTTTTCAATATATTTATTTTGTTTGTAAAAAGTAAAGAAATAATTTTTAACGATACAATAGCCACGATTATTATTTTAAAAAGTTTACATTAGGCTTAACATCGACAAAAAAATTCAACACAAAGCGACCCGCAACAGAGAAAAATTTCAACATGGGATAGGTTAATATATTTTTTTGTACATAATCGGTTATCCGAAAAATAAGTTATCTGAACAACCCCAGTCCCCAGTTTATTCGGATAAACAACGCTCTACTGTAATTAAAATTTTCAAAAGTTTTATTATTGTTTGAGTAGCTCTCAAATAATAATTCTTTCAATTTGAAAACTTTTGTAACTTTACGATATTATAAATATAAAACACTAATTAACTTTTTTATATAAATTTGTTAAATTTAGGTGAATTTAATAAAAATGTTTAAACACAGATAAATATTATTTTAATTTTAAGATCCTTACATGTAAAATTTTTTAATGAAAAACAATAAACCAATAGATCTGAAATTTAATTTATTACAAAAATATATAATAATAATAATAATAATAATAATAATTTATAATTCAAAATTTTCAATTAAATCATTGAAATATTTTTATATTTAAAATTACTGAATGAAATCAGTATTGTCAAAACATACAAAAAAGTATAAAAGTGAAAAATCTCTCTGATTTTGTTTTACAAAAAAAATTGTGTTTATAAGATCTCAATTTTTGGCTTCCCAGTTTTGTCTGAGGAACTTCATGTTCCTCAGACAAAACAGATACTTTAAGGACAATTACATCTGCTCAATCTTGAGATATAGGACAAGGTTTTTTCAAATGTTCTTGCACTTTGAATGCCAGACTATGAAGTATAAATGCAAGAAAAATGACACTTTACATTCTTCTAAATGTCATAACTCTGACTTCTTGCAGAAAATAAAAATGTTAATTAAAAGGAATTTTTCTATTTTATTTTAAATTTACTTTTCACAACCTTAGCTTGTAAAAGTTAACACATTAAGTACCACAATAGAAAGGCATAAAATATTGCACTGTACCTAGTCTAGATTGCATAAATGGACCAATACATATTCAAGAAAAATAGAATAATCACTAAAATTATATACCTACTGTTTTATACTCTAAAAGAAGATAAAGATTGTTTTTTCAAATATTTGTTTTTGTGCTTTATATTTTTATTATAATAATGTACTTATTTGTGTTCATTGTTTAAGAAAAATGTTAGGAAAGACACATTTTGCATATTTCTCATATTTTATAGGGAAAGAAGTTCAATTTCTATAAGCATTCTATCATAAAAAAAATTTACTGGACCAAGAGAAATTTCCATTCCCACATACTATGCTCTAACTGTTTCCATCACATTTATATGGTGGAGCGTTGCACCAAAGTAACAGTACAGATTTTAATGTGTAGTGTGTGTTGCATATATGCAATACATGGCATTGTTAACAAATACACTAGAGAGAATATACAATCACTAGTGAATGTGGTTTTATTATTTTAAAATGAACAATTTGTTTCACATTCATACAATCCACTTTCACTGTAACATATCTATCTAACTGCGTATCTTAGTAATTATAAACTTTATACTAATTTCTATGATTGATTTGATTTTTTTTTTGCACTTTTCATAAAATATTTTTAAAAAATGGATGGTTAACAATAAAACAAGAAACAAATAAAAGAAACTAATAATTAACAACTTTAGTATAAATATTTTGTTATTCCTTAGTTTCTTAAAGATTAGCTTAACCACTACATAATGATTTATATTTTTTCAATTTTACTTTATGATTAAATAAGTATTTATAAAATATATAAATTTTGAATAAAATGTATTTGATTAAAGAATTTAGATTTATGCATTTAAAATATATTTACAGGTGTTGTTGGCAAATCTTTGAAAGGTCATCCAAGTGTTTTTGTTTCTTCTGATGGTGGACTTACATGGCATCATGTAAGTATATTAATTTCATACAAAAAAATTTAAATTTCCAACACACTAAGTTTTTAAACACAAACATTTTTTGCTTTATTTAAATGCCTTCAGGTGAAATAACAAGGTAGAATTATACTTCAGCTGAGCTTTCATATGTTCTAATATATATATATACTGTAAGGTCTCTTTTTATGCGGATTATTTTTATGCAATTTTGAAGTTGTGTGGTTTGTATTTCATCCAAAAATTTCTTGGACAAGCATACATACAGGCTTGTTTACGAAGCCCTTGTATAGACAGTTTCCAAAAATCGTGGAACGCTCAAAGCTCACTCTGTTTGTTTCGCTGACATACAACGTTTATGGATGTAAAGGACAGCTAGATTTACCTTAATCACTTTAGTTCCTAGCAATTTTTGATATAAATATAATTAAAGATAAAAAATACTTAAAACTGAAAAAAAACGAAAGAGATGCGTTAATTTTGAAGAAAAAGCTTCAAAGTTTAACTTCCTTTGTCTCGCCCTTCTGTGAAATTTAACACCGATGAGTCATTGTTTACACATCTGGATGACCATGAACACAGCTGGAGTTGGATTTCCCGGGGCATTCTCATAGACGTCGTGGGAGGACAAGGGTTTAAAGTAGGGTGAACACTAGCTGGCCATATATTTTTAAATATTTTTTAAAAATTTGGAGACTTAAAAAACATTCCAAAAATTCAAAAAAAAATTTCAAAAATGGCCTTAAGGACTGTGTTTTATGAAATGCTATGTAACCTGTCCGAGTTAACTCGGGCGAGGAACTAAAGTTTCAATTAACTCTTCACATCCAGATGTTAGTGATTTATTTTTAGAGTGAGCTTTTGCAATTCAGGAATTCCCCTTGTATTACTTATCAATAAAATAAATTGAATTAAGTTTGAATACAAGTTTATTTTAAGCTTTTATATGAATTTCTTTCAGATATTCGAAGTAATTTAGTAAGCAGCCTATTTCTTTTAATTTCTGCAAACTTTATTATGCGGTTTTAAGTTAATTTTAACTTGTTGTTTTGGTTTTATGCGATTTTAGAAAATTACGAAACGTATCCCTACTTTTTCAAGGCAAGTAAAGTCTTTTTTTTATGCGAATTTTTTATATGTGCTTTTCTGTAGAACATATCCACCTCATAAAACGAGACCTTATAGTATATATATATATTTATATGTTTACTTAGCTTTGTTTAACCACTCTGATATACTGTTTCATACTTAAACAGAGAATACCATCTCCTCCTCATTTTGTTTGATTTGAAAATCATTTACATTATTAATTTATTTTTGTAAATAAATTTAACTTTATTTAGTAAGCTAATTCAAAATATAATTTAGCGGTTTCACTTGTCTACTAAGCCTTAAAGCCTTAAATCTACTAAGTCCATAAATTATATGACCTTGACTCTGAAAATTATTACCAGTTTTCATTAAAGCGAACTACTTACTGTTTCCCTAGTATTAACACAAGTTGACTATATAGCCATCCTGGTTATTTGTGGTGACTTGAGATGATTTAAGTGTTCACTTAATAGGTCCTTCGTCGCATTCAGTTGGCTGTTGCTTTACCTAGCTGATGCATATGCAGGGTGCATAGGAAAGTCCCTTTAATCGGAAAATTCTTGCGAACAGAAAGAGCTACAGCTATGCAAGTGAGGTAACGATATAGTAAAGCGACTATGCCCGACCCAATGCAAACAACAGCAGCACCCCTAGTGGCAAAATTTGGAAGATAGGCAGTGCAAATCAAAAATGAAAACAGATAGAGTAAACTTTCCAATTAGAAAGTTTTAGAGCATCAATTAATTAGTAGGAAACGATGTGTGGTTCACACAGATAACATAAATTGACGCCTGTATACCCAAAAATGTCCAAAAGTGATGCACGTCATTTTGTGTAAATGTTTGAAATGTATAGCCATAGGTTACAAATGCGCACAATTTAGTGCATAAAATACGTACTTATGTCAATACAGTTTGATAACATCACACAAAAAACAACGGAAAGGTAAACTCACACAGTGATAACAAGTTAATGTCGAGTATGTTTGAAAAGTTTGCCATTGCTCACGATACATGCCATTGTTATCAAACTGTATTGATGTAAGTACGTATTTTATATAATAAGTTGTGTGTATTTCTTCATACATATGGCTATTCCTTTTAAATGTTTACACAAAATGGCGTGCATTGCTTTTGGACATTTTTGGGTATACAGGTATACCTCGAGTTACATCATTCTTGATTATATGTCGTTTGTCAAAAAAATATATGGAAAATAAAAATCAAGTTTAAGTCATTTTATTCGACTTTACATCTGTCACCACAAATATTGAAGTCGTAATATCACTAGAAAAGCTTTAAAGCGCATAAAATCATATAAAAAATACGTACATTTACAGTAAATGTTAATATAATCATTATAAATCCTAGATAACAAAACATGAAAATATCTGTGACTGTGTTGTCGTCTTATTTAGTGGTCTGTAAGTGCTCAATATTGGTGTTTTCCATGGTAGCTCCAATATCTACTGTTTGGCGTCGTTGTCAGCACCACTCGATATTTGTAAATTTAATATAAATTAGTTTTATTTTCTACTGTTGTAAGATAATTTTAATAACTGTATTTGTTAATTAACCTTACAAAATCTTATTTTATAAAGTCTTAAAACAAACCACATTCACAAATAAAGAGTCCGCAATGTACTGTAAACATCACCAAATTGTAAATGTGTACATTTACAAGTATATAATGTACGTACACGAATTCGTAAATTTAGATTACTTTTTTCTGTACTATATTAAAAACCAAAATTTATTTGTTTGTAAGCTTAAAATAGATTCGTATGAACAATATATTATTAAAAATGCATTTATAAATAAAATACAGAACTGGGAATGGCTATTTGTGGTTTAGCCTAGTGACAAGTAAATTTGACTTACGTCACCTCTCCTGGAACGAATTACCGATGTAATGCAAGGTATAGCTGTACAGGCGACAATTTATCTTATCCGTGTGAACCACACATTGTTTCATACTAATTACTTGATGCTCTAAAACTTTCTAATTGGAAAGTTTGCTCTATCTGTTTTCATTTTTGATTTGCACTGCCTATCTTCCAAATTTTGCTACTAGGGGCACTGCTGTTGTTTGCATTAGGTCAGGCGTAGTTGCTTTACTATACCATTACCTCACTTGCATAACTGTAGCTCTCTTCGTTTGCAAGAATTTTTTGGTTAAAGGGACTTTCCTATGCACCCTGTATATATGTGTATATGTAAATATATTAAATAAACATATATATGTTACCGCTAAAGCTCGAAAGCTGTTAATGTGTACATTACCTAGCCAATCTGCAGATTAACTAGGGTGATTTGTTAAAGCTGCGAAAATTGTTCCATTTCTCAAATTACCTAGTTAATGTGCAGAGTATCTAGGTAATCTGCACATTACCTACTAGGCACTCAGTAAAGTGAAAATAAGATCTTTGCTGGAACAACAGCAACATTTCTCTATGCTTAAATTAACATAATGTTATTTATTTAATTTTTTGATATCTAAAGAATCAAGTTAATACAATCAAACAATCAACAAATTAGTTGATTGAATTGATCATCAATTAAAAAAACTGTAATACAAAAATCAAAAGGTTGAAAATATTTTTACAATTAGGGAAATGAATTTGCAAAACATATGATAAAACTGTGCTTACTTATTAGTGAAATCTAAAGATTGGTGACACTTTGAATTACATAGCAATTGTTTTTGCGACAAGCACACCTATTTGTGGTACATTTATATTTGCAGTCACATTTTCTGAAACCCTGCCCAGTACCAAGGGATTGTTTTATTGCTGTTTGACGTAAAGATATTTCTACAGCAGGGGGATCTTCTTTTGTTAAAAATCTCTCTTTGCAAACACTGAATTCAGATTTTGCATACAATTGTTTTAATATACTCATTTTAGTACCAAGTTTACAAAAGCTTCTGTTTTACTAAGAACCCACAGCTAAAATTGAGCGTGCATCAGTTTTTGCTTTGTCTTCTTCGGGTACTTAATTCTCACAGTGATACCTTCATCGACATTTGGGTGCTTTGCATTAGAAACTGCTAACATGTTCTTTGCTTGCTTTTCTAAACATTTCTTGGCTTCATCACACTGTATTTTCTGATCCATATTCTTTTTACAGATGTTGCACAATACATTCTTACCATATCCTTACTCTTTAGGATCTACTTCACCACAAACTGCATGAACAAACATATCACACGATTTACACTTGGGAGCGCTTGATGCTGCTTTTGAGCAAACAATACAGACTATGTCTTGTATAGTGCTCTTTACAGGCTCTGTACAAAACTGTGATGGCAATTCTGTTGAAGTTGAGGGTAACTCAGTTATGACTTCTTCAACTTGCAGAGGTGATTCCTTGGAGATGCAGGGTTACTGCATATTCTTCAATCAATGGTGTAGAAGGCAGTTTAAGATTACTATTGATAAATTCTTGTATTTCTTTAGGTGATTCTGTAGAAGCAGTGGATAAAGGAATGTCATATTGAGTAAGATTTGACTGTGATGCCATAATCACAGTCTCTTGTGAATCTTCTGATTTTTCAAGGTTTTCTTCAGTATTTATCGAATGTAATAAACTTTGTGGTGTAATAGAAGACAATCCCACTTTTGCGGGACAACCAAACATCGCTTTGTATGGACTTCTTTTAATTGCAGAATGATAGGCACAATTCTTCGTGACTTGTACAAATCGTACGCTCTCACTCCACTTGTTAGTTTGGCTATCAGTCATCCAAGTAGTTAGCATGTTTTTAATGTCTTGATTTGCTCGTTCTACACTTCCTTGACTTTGGCTGTGTCTAGGTTTGCCATTAACCATTTTGATTTCTGGCCACAACTGTGTTACACATTCTAAGATTTTATTACAAAATTCATGTCTGTTATCAGAATGCAAAATACTTGGAATGCCAAAAAGGAGAAAAATATCCAGCAAGTTATAGGCTACTTCATCTACCCATTTTGATGTGAGCATCTTTAATACAACAAATTTTGTTAAGTGATCTTGGTATACGAGAAGAAACTTAAACTTTCCATCTGGGTAAGATTGGTAATCGATCTGTCATCTTCTATTGATCCACCTGTCATCTTCTATTGAAATGCAATGAAATAATTGGCTTTACAACAAGCCCTTTTTTCGCACTTTTTTGTTTTTGTTGACAAGGTTTTGTTGACAAGTAAAAACATTTTTATTTAGGCTTGGGTTATGTTTTTATAAAATTTTTTAATTGCTTGATCATTCTGTCTCTTCCACCATGGCCAATTGATAAATGATTCGAATACAATATGTCAAACAATTCTTCGGCGTGGACAAACTTTTCACACTTTCTCGCACATTTGCACATCTCGCACATCTGACAATGGCTGAATGAGTTTTTCACAGCCTTGTACAGTCAACACATCATACCTTTGAATTATTCGATAATCTCGAGATGATTCTTCTTGGAAACTTTTATTCGCTTTACATCTTCAATTATGGAATCATACTTTCGTATGTCATTAAAACACTATTATATTTTGAATCTTTGCTAAAGAGGTTCAAATAATCTTTTCTTCATTTTACTCACTAATTCGGTGCTTGCGTGCACACTAGGAGTTAAATTTATCTACTTTAAAAAAAATCCTGTCAGAAATTCACGCGCTAACAAGCAGAAACGAATTTGAAAACAGAATTAGTTATGCTACGCATTGGCAGCCAATGCAAATTATGAGAAATAAAAACAACTGGCGACGACAAGACATTGGCAAAACCAAATTAAAAGTGGAGGGAGAGAGGAAAGGAAATGAGAGAAACAAACTTTTGAACTTTAACAATACGGAAGCCATTAATGTACAGATTACCTAGGTAAAATGAGGAAAACTCTTGATTCTGCACGTTCACAGATCACCTTAGTTAATCTGGAGATTATCTAGATAATGTACATATTAACAGCTTTCGAGCTTTAGCGGTAACATATATATAAATATTATTAATACATCTAAAAAGACTTAATGTATTAATGATAAAAGTACATTTATAAACTGTGATATTAGGTTTGTGTTGAAAATTGTTTTCTTAATTAAATCAATTATTCAAAGTTATAAAAGTTTTATATATGTGGATTTTAATACAAGTTCAAATTCATATATAATATATATTAAGTATTTTTATTTGTGTTGATTTTGTTTTCAGTACTTCATAATTAAAAATTTTTTCTACGTAAACAAGAATAATTTTAAGTTCAATAATAATGAAAAGTCTTCATTAAATTTTTAATAAAAGATTATTTTTAGGTGCTGTATGGAACATATCTATATAATTTTGGTGATTTTGGAGGTGTATTGCTGGCAGTTCAATATAGCAGCAAAAGTACAAATGAAGTTTTGTAAGTAGAAACAGAGTTACTTTTAATATTTTAATAAATTTATTACAATTTAAATTAAAGTAATTAATATTATGCTTTAGAATGGAATTTATTATTATAAATGTATTTTAAGAAACTTATTATATTTATTGGTAAATATTTTGTATTATAAAAAAAATAATTAAGTAAAAATCAAAATATTCAATTTATTTTAAAAGTAAAAAATAAATAAATAAAAAAAGATACATCATTAGTTAACTGCTTTTTTGGAAAGTTGTATCAATTTTTAGAACAGTTTAAGAATTACAATGGCAGAAGAAAATCTATTTAATATAAAAAAAGATATATAAAAAATGATTGAGTGTGGCATTAGTTCTTTCTCAGTTGTAACAGTAGTTAATGTTGAATGATACTACAGAACATAGCCTTAAGGAGAATTGTGTCAATCAATTGGTATTGTATCAATACTGTGTGGACTTGTTATCCTATGCACAGCATGATTAACTGCTTTTTTAAGTTTCAACTTCCTTAATTATTTTTTTGTATTTTATGCCCCATTCATTTGATTTCATCATAAATTTAAATTTACAAAACATTATTTGTGTTTTAGATGATTAAATGTTTAAAGCAATCAAAAACATTTGTTTACTAAAAACTATTAATGATAAAGGTTATTATAGGAAGCATTTTCTTTGTTTCTCAATTATATTTCTAGTACTTAATACATACATAAAAAAAAGACATCGGCCGTACACGAAATGTTTAGCCAGCAGAAAGAGGGTAAGGAAAAGGGCAGGGGAAGAAGGAGGGAGAGGAGATAGACAATAGATAAAGGTAGGATCCCTGTGAATAGTGTACATATGGCTACAGTACTATGTTGGTGTTGGCGTGCAGTTTTTAGGTTGCAAGGCCATAATTCCCTGAAGGATCTAAAAGAAAACCCGAGTTTAGCAAACACCAGTAATTGAGAGTCGCCACGAATAGCTAAGTGTAGAAGTTAGTGCCAAGTGGCTGTTAATAGGAAGACTTATATCTACTTAATACTAATAAAACTGAATGCAATTGCAAATCTTAATACTACAGTAGAGCATCGATTATCCGATCCCTGATTAACCCTCAGTTAACCGACCGTTCTAGTCAGCAAATTTCAAATGTTTGCTAGTGATGTGGCACTACAATATTTGGCTATGTCTTGGCTACTTTAATATTATTTTTGTTAAATTTTTGCGTGTTTTAGCTGGCAACATGGCTCGACCATTAAAGGGCGGGCAGTATTTAAACGAGACTTAATTTTCTAATTATGCGTGGTTGTTTGTTTTGTGAGCAATAAAATAATTTAAAAATAATTTTTAACAATACGATAGCGATGATTATTATTTTTAAAAAAATTTGTTAGGCTTAACATCAATGAAAATTCAATGCGAAGTTGGTTAATAGCGATATACTAATATACCAATTACATGAGATATACTAATATACTATACTAATAATGTATTTTTTTCATTTTTTTTGGTTATCCGATTTTTCAGTTATCCGACCAACCTGAGTCCCCAATTGAGTCGGATAATGGATGCTCTACTGTACTTAACAGCTAGGCAGACAGTGCGAAAAGCAAATGAACATATGACAAACTAGATGAAATGAACGGACCAACAGAGACAAACGAGCAAGATCCCAAAAAAATTTTTTTTCACTTAAACTAACCTACCATAACTTAGGTTGAACCTAACCAGATGACTAAAGCTAACAAACCCTAATCTAATTTAACCTAACCTATCATAACCTAACTGGAAACCAACCTAAGAGTCCCTAATCTAACTTACAACTAGAACTAACCGAATTTAGATTGAAAAAAAGACAGAAAATAAGAATTAAAATACAAAGTTAAAAGGCAGCTATATACTGACAATTGAAACAAAGCAAGGGAAAGCTAATTGCCATCTGTGTCTCTGTTGTGAATGCTCTCAAGAGCCCCACTAAGGGATATGAATGCGAGTAGATGATGGAACATTGTACGTGTGTGAAAGAGTTGGTGCGTGTTGCAAGACTAGTTGTACCCTTCAAGAATAGCAGCTCTCATTAAGCTATTCCTAATGTGATTGTACGTATTGCAGCAAAAAACTAAGTGAATGGTGTTTGGTCGTCTAGAATACCACAATCGCATTGTGGATTGTTTCCAAGGTTAAATCTATGCAAGTATTGCTTAAAGTTTCCATGTCCTGTAAGTAGCTGAGTCAGAGTGTAACTAGGATAAAAGTGGCAAAGAATTGCAGTAGTGTCAACCTTGGGGATGAAAGTGTAGGTGAGCCTACCAGTGGTGTCATGGTCCCAGCTGTCTTGCCAGAGAATGAAGATTTGCTTCTTGATGTGATTGTTGATGTATTGTACTGTACAAGGTAGGAATATAACTGAAAGTTCTAGTGACTGAAGACTTTTCAGCTTGTTTGGAAAGACAGTCAGCGGTCTCGTTGCCGAGAACCCTTGCATGACCTGGTACCCATTGGAAATCTATTCTAATGTTGTTGTCTAAGTGTCTGAGAATGTGATGTATGAGATGGACGAGTTTTAAGCAGCTATCAAACTTTGCAATCCTGTGTAAAGCTATTCTACTGTCAGAATAAATGCGATAGTGTAAGTAGTGTCTTTTGTCCTTCCTACGCATAATGTGAATTAAGCTCATATAAATAGATAAAGTTACCTGTGCTATTGAGCAGTGTGTACTTAGATGGAAGCAACCGTTGTGAAACTTGTGGCATAAGTCGGAATAAACTACAAAAGCGGCATCCACATCATCATTCATCTTGGAATCGCCAGTGTAAATCCTAAACATGGGATGATCATCTGGATCTTCAAAGTAAACGTCAGGGGCAAGCTGATGGGAGGGGTTGTATTCATAAGTTGGTGGGAGGGTATTTTTGTTGATACTGAATTTTTTTATATCATCAATCAAGGTCAAACTGGGGGGAATCTTGCCTACTCTAATCATATTGTCGACATTCGAGTTGGTGTAATCTCGCCAGGGTAAGGTGATGAGATTTTCCTGCCAAATAATGCGTTTAATTTCTATGTCGATAGGGGTCAATCCTGACATTACCAAAAGGGCACTGTGGGTGTAGCAGTCCTATAAGCCTTACAAATGTGGAGAGCTGCAATTTTTTGAACAGATAACAGTTTTTTTATGGTTATGGACTTTGGCAGCCACATGGTCCCAGACCTGTATGGCATAGAGGAGTGCTGGCTGAATTGCACTCCTGTAAATAAGCTAGTAGCGTTAGGGCCAAGGCCCCATGTGTTCCTAGCAATACTAATGAGGATATTGGCCATCTTTTTAGCTTTGTCTGTGATGTATTTGATGGGCGGTGTGAAGAAGTTAATAACATATAAATATTTAATTTCCATTGTTTGCTTTATTCTAGCACTTAATACACTAAACTTGGCACTATCGTGAATATGAAATAAGAGCGTGCTTAATTTAGGGATCATATTATTATAAGATGATGATTTTTAAAAGAACAGTTCTTGTTAATCTGAATTCAAAACAAAAAGACATTGACTTTAATGCTGATATGACAAAAATTTTTTTGTAATGCATGGCCACGATAATGGATAGCACTTTTGACAATGCAAAATACAATGGTATTAATACTCTATGATAATCTCTAGATAACAATAAATAACAGAAGTGGATAGTGAATAAATTATATGTTGTTAAAGTTGCAGAATATTAATCCTTAAGTAAAATTTAACTAAAATTTTTCAGGTAGTTTAAATCTTCAAAAGTTAATCTATTCTTTTTCTTGTAATAAAAAATTCATATTTAAATTTATATATTTCAGTATAGAGATATATACAGTAGAGCATCGATTATCCAAATACCGATCAACCGAAACATTGATTAACCAAAAGCGTTCCAGTCGGCAAATTCAAATTTCCTCCAGTGCTGTGGTGCTGCAATATTTGGCTGTGTCTTGGGCTATTCAATATTATTTTTATTTTTATTCAATATTATTTTTGTTGGTGTCCGTGTTTTAGCTGGCAGCACTGTCATGACCATGAGAGGGTATGAGTATGTTTGTAAAGTCAAATAAGTTAAATGCGTTAGTAAAAAATCAGTCAAAAAGTAGTAGTCTCATTCAGTACGCATGCTCTGCGGTGTTGAAAACTCTAACAAAGTTTACAACGGAAAGAGTCAGTTTATTTCATTAAGAAAATGGCACTTGACAATATTGATGTTTCTAAATCTACTGGAGTGTTTAAATTGTGAATTAAAAGGTGAAATGATAGAAATAACTCTTCACACGAAGCAGTCTAAGAAAAATTTTTCAGATAGCACTGCACTAGCAACATTCATATCTTCAATTTTAGAAACAGCCATTTAATTATAAACAAATTGGTCGAAAAGTCTAACGAAATAAGAATAACTATGATGTCTTTCTCGTTTAACTCGTTCGATGTTATGAACATACCCGATGAATCAAAATGTTTTTGATACTAGATTAACTTCCGAAATATCATTTTNTTTGTAACCTTTGTTTGTTTTTATTATTATTATTATATCTAAAACAACCACAGAATGTTTTATTCATTGCAATATTGCAACAGTATTTTAAGGCCATTTCAATGTTTATAGAAAACATTGCAATGTGAGAATAAATTAAAGCACAAATAAGATGAAAATAAAATGCAACACAACATACAAGGAATAGGATATACATGTGAAATTCAGCTACTCAGACTGTTTAACTAGTAAGTATTGTGTTGTATTGTATTTTGATCTTAATTGTTTTAATTTTCTTTTGTTTATTTTGATTTATTGTCACATTGCAAATGTTTAAAATTTGTTCAAATTTTCTATAAATGTTTAAACAGCCTTTGATTCAATTGCAACACTTTTGTTTGACTCAATAAGACTTGAAGGATTAATGCAATTGAGAGACAATGATTGTCTGGACAGCTATGAAAGGAAAGAATAATACAAGATTTAAATAATACTTTAGGATTAATAGTTTTGAATTCAATACATGTTTTCTAAATCATGCATACTTTGAACTAAATTGGATACAAAATTAAACATTTGAGGATAAAAGATTGATTATTAATTAAAATAACTCAAAGTCAGACTAAGAATTTTTTTATTGAGAATTTTTTAAAAATAATTATTTGTTAATTATACATTGCTTTTACTGTTTATAACTTTTACTGCAGAATAATTATAGATTAACTCTTGAGACACTAGTTTGAAAGAGATTTGTGTTGCTTTTTGTCAATATTGAATACAGTTAAGCTAATTGAACAATAAATTAACAAAGGAAAAGATCACCCAAAGCAAATGTAAAAAAGAATAAAAGAGGCTTTGTATTTATAAAATATGAACAACAAAAATGGTCCAAATCATCACTGATTAGTGATTTTTATAATTCAAAACAAGCATGAACTAATTTTTTATTTGTGTATGTGCAAAATATGAATAAAAATAAAACTATGGCGTCCAATACAGCCCTGCCACATGTTGCAACAGTCTGCCATCCAGTGACAGTGAAAAGGAAGGTATCAGTCGAGCATTTGGTGGTGTGTCATTTGCATGAGAAAATTCTGTTTCCAGCAAAGCGCAATTATGTCTGACCTGTTTGACGTGCAAAGAGGCATGGTTATTGGAGCTTGTCTCGCTGGAGCAGTCGTGTTTAGAACAGCCAACCTTATGGGTGTTTCAAGGTCCACTGTGTCAAGGGTTATGACAGCCTACACAAAACTGGGAAAGGTGTCCTCTGCGAAGCAGAACAGTGGGCGAAAGTCAAAATTGACCGACCAGGATAGACAAGCGTTGAAGAGGCTAGTCTCCCGAAAACATAAGACTACACTGCAGTAGATAACCTCTGAGATGAACATCCATCTCCAGAACCCTATATCCATCAAAACTATTCAACGGAAGCTGCATGCTGCAAGCATTCATGGCCAAATAGCCATCTCAAAGCCATTTGTGTTGCCGCAGAATGCTTTGAAGCAATGACAGTGGTGCTGAGACCACCGAAACTGGACACAACAGCAATGGTAACAGGTCATCTGGTTTGACGAATCATCATTTACATTATTTCAGACCACCAGACGTGTTCATTTGGCGAACACCAGCAGAGGCATTTCATATTGACTGTCTGCATGGGGGCTCTGTGATGCTGTGGGGAGCGTTATCGTGGCGTGGCTTGGGGCCACTCATAGTCCTGAGGGAGAAGGTCAGAGGCAAGCATTATCGTGGTATTCTCGCAGATCATTTACACCCTATGCTTCATATTCTGTTTCCTGGAGAACGTCCTCTATTCCAAGATGATAGCGCCCCTGTACACACGGTTCACTGTGTTTAAACATGGTTGGATGAGCATAATGATGAAGTGGAACATCTCACATGGTGTCCTCAGTTCCCCAGTCTCAACATCATTGAGCCTGTGTGGGGTTTTTTTAGAGAACAAAGTCCATTTCCTCCTCCATGCACACTACCCGAACTTGAGACCATTCTACAGGAAGAATGGCTGTGAATTCCCTTAAACTTTCTGCATGGCCTTTATTTCTCAATTCCACGTCAGATACAAGCTGTAATTCAGGCCAATGGTGGCCCAATTCCCTACTAATAAATATTTTGCATTCTTTCACAGGTGTTCCTATTATTTTGTCCTATACCTGTATATCGTTTATATAAAAAATATCTTGTATACAAAAGAAGACAATTACAGGTTTATTGTATCATTTGTAAATATTGCATTTTTTGCCTTCTTTTACTTATCCAAAAAATAGAGATGTATTTTAGAATTGATGTATTACATTTTCAGTTCATAACAGTAATCATGAATTGTTGCAAGTAAACCATCTATTATTGATGAATTATTCATTAATAATAAATGTTTTCAACTATTTCTTAATGTTTGCCAACACCATAAATATACAAAACATACATAAAACTGTAATCAGTAAAAGAGTGAAGTTTATTCAGTATTAAACCCTTTTTTGAGACTGTGCTATTTCATCATTGGATCCTACAGATCTTTATCTATTGAGAGTCAATATCCTTTACAATTGAGTTTAAGATTTTAAACTTTATTAAGCCCTTTTTAAAATGCATGAGAAGGCATTTGGATAAGGGACTCAATTAGTGTAATGTGGAGGATCTTAACTGTTACTGGTCTTGTCATGTGTTTAGTTTGTCATTAGCAAGATATAGTTTTGTAACCTTTGTTTGTTTTTATTATTATTATTATATCTAAAACAACCACAGAATGTTTTATTCATTGCAATATTGCAACAGTATTTTAAGGCCATTTCAATGTTTATAGAAAACATTGCAATGTGAGAATAAATTAAAGCACAAATAAGATGAAAATAAAATGCAACACAACATACAAGGAATAGGATATACATGTGAAATTCAGCTACTCAGACTGTTTAACTAGTAAGTATTGTGTTGTATTGTATTTTGATCTTAATTGTTTTAATTTTCTTTTGTTTATTTTGATTTATTGTCACATTGCAAATGTTTAAAATTTGTTCAAATTTTCTATAAATGTTTAAACAGCCTTTGATTCAATTGCAACACTTTTGTTTGACTCAATAAGACTTGAAGGATTAATGCAATTGAGAGACAATGATTGTCTGGACAACTATGAAAGGAAAGAATAATACAAGATTTAAATAATACTTTAGGATTAATAGTTTTGAATTCAATACATGTTTTCTAAATCATGCATACTTTGAACTAAATTGGATACAAAATTAAACATTTGAGGATAAAAGATTGATTATTAATTAAAATAACTCAAAGTCAGACTAAGAATTTTTTTATTGAGAATTTTTTAAAAATAATTATTTGTTAATTATACATTGCTTTTACTGTTTATAACTTTTACTGCAGAATAATTATAGATTAACTCTTGAGACACTAGTTTGAAAGAGATTTGTGTTGCTTTTTGTCAATATTGAATACAGTTAAGCTAATTGAACAATAAATTAACAAAGGAAAAGATCACCCAAAGCAAATGTAAAAAAGAATAAAAGAGGCTTTGTATTTATAAAATATGAACAACAAAAATGGTCCAAATCATCACTGATTAGTGATTTTTATAATTCAAAACAAGCATGAACTAATTTTTTATTTGTGTATGTGCAAAATATGAATAAAAATAAAACTATGGCAATAATCTATTGTTTGCAGTTTAGAAATCTTATACTATACTTTAAAGTTTATATTTAATTAAATATTTAATATAAGCTGTTTTTTGATTTGTGAATTACATTTAAGTATTTTTTTTCTTCAGTAGTCAGAAATTCTGGATTAATTCGGTGAAAACACCTTTTTCTTTTCTTGTGCTTTCATACATTTACATTCTTTATCATCATTTTTTTTTTACATTACAAAATGATTTATTCAATTTGGTTCACCAATGTCTAAAAGCTGGGAGTAATAACATTAAATACACAGTCCAGTCACATTAATGTGACCACCTGTCAAAAGCCAGCAAGGACAGATATGTACTTCTGTTGATCCATCATGCCTTCCACAATGATGAGTGCACCTGGAGAATGCCATAAAAACATTCCCCAGACCCTAATGCTCCTTCCTCCAGCTTGGACCCTTGCGGCAATTGTTGCGGGGTATTTGCTTTCAGATGCCTCATGCTGTATACACCAACATCCATCTGTTTGATGGAGCATAAAACGTGATTCATTGGAAAAAGCCACCTGTCGCCACTCAGTGGACATCCAGTTGCCATACTGGCGTGCAAATTCCAGCCTTTATTGCTGATGAACAGGAGTCAGCATAGGCGCTTTAACCAGGCATCTGCTGCAGAAGCCCATATGCAGCAGATGCCAACAACGTTTACTGAACTGTCGTTGAGGAGACACTTTTGGTAGCTCCTTGGTTCATCTGGGTGGTCAGTTAATCAACAGTTGCGTGTCTGTTTGCCCGAACACATCTCCGCCGCCGTCATTCGCCTCTGTCGTCTATGGCCCATGGTGCACCACATTTGCCGCATCGCTGATTTTGGATAGTGCCATTTTGCCATGCACAGTATACTTTTACCACAGTGGCATGCGAACAGTTTACAAAATTAGTCATTTCGGAAATACTTCCACCCTTGGTTCGGAAGCCGATGATTATGCTCTTTTGGACATTGGATAAATCACGTCGTACATCCATTACACCAACGATTGCAATGTGTTTCGCTTACCTCAGATACCCTTCATATACTCTCCACTGCAATGTGTTGCTACCTGCCACCTGTGATTAGTTATTTCATATTGATGTCGACAGTAAGGGGTGGTCACATTAATGTGACTGGACTGTGTATAATGCTGAAGTTTCTCCAAAGTTCATTTATACCTCATTCAAAGTTATTCAATTCACATCTTTGCAACAAAGTTTAAACCAAGGCTTAACAATCCCATGGATAGATGTTGTTTTCACTCTAAACCAGATCTAACAAAAACGTTGTCTCTGCAATCAGCTCTAAATGTATGACAATATCATTTATTTTGAAAAATAACTAAAAATATTGGAGACAAGAGTATAGTTTTTTACAGTTTATGTACAACTAAATGATCTAAAACTTTATTTTTAAATCCAAAAATATATTTATTTAATATTTAAGTTATAAAATAAAATTTATTTTTAAAAAATTATTAATAAATTAATAAAATACATCTAAAATTTCAAATATGTTTTAATTACTATATAATGAAAATTATTTTTAATTAATGTTTTAGATGTAAAAACATATTGTAAAATTTAAAAGGTCATTAAGTAATTTTAAGCATATTATTGTAGTTATGTTAGTAAATTTATTAGTTTAAAAATTTTATTATTCTGTTTACAAATATTTTTATTTAGAATATGAATGTAAATCAGAAGATTATAAATACTGGAGTCCACATGGTCCCAATAAAACGTGCCTTCTTGGGCGTAGAGAAGTTTATCACAGGCGTATCTCTCGTATTCATTGTTATAATGGAAAAGATTATAAACGTCCAGTTGTAACTGAGAATTGTCCATGTGCAATTGATGATTTTGAATGGTATGCAATTTTAATACTATCTTCAAAAAAATTTGTAACATTTTATTTTACATAATTAGTGAATTGATAATATCCAAAGTATAATCATGTTATAAATTCTGTGTCCTTTCAATAAAAGGATTTAAGTTTTGATGTTAGTTGTTTATTAACAAAATTGGTCACTAAGTTATTGTATGTACTGTATATTTCATTCCAAAAGTTACTCACATTAACAAAAATGTTCAGCTTTCATTTATTAGCTATATAGGATTTTATTGTCTGTTTCAGTGTTTCTCAATCAAATGTTATGATCCAAATATTTGTAAATTATATTAATAAATAATGATGGAGTTTTTTAGTGAGTTATTTCATCTTATAAGATGAAATAACTCACTAAATAATAATCACTTTTTTATGATATATAAAAATTGTTAAATATGATTGAAAATTCTTTATAGAGAATTTACAGCTATATTTTCAAATTATGTCTAATAATTTTTATACTACTGGTTGAATTTTAATTTCCAAAAAAATCCTAGAGATATTCTTAATTTAAGATTCCTTAATTTCAGTTTATAATTATTTAATATGCTAATTTTGAGATGAGATTTTAAAATATTGTATTTTAATTACATAATATTTTAGTGATTATGGATTTAAAGAAGATCGTTATATTGGACATTGCATAAGAGATAATGATAGTGAAATTGATCCATACTCCATTCCACAAGATTGTAAGCCAGGTGGATTTTACAACAGAACTAAAGGGTTTGTAATTACTTATTTACAACTTACTTATTTTTTATTTTAAAATATTTTATTTTTAACTGATGCATATTTTAAAAGCTATCGGAAGGTGTCTGGTGATACATGTGTGGGAGGTGAAGATTATCGATATAATCCTGAACTCATGTCTTGTCCATTAAAAGGTAAAAGTTCTGATTAATAATTATTTCATTGCAGTTAATTTTTATTATGATGATATAGACAATTTGAATATTCAAAAATTTTTAAGCAGTTTGTTCAAAAGCTGATATTATTATGCAAACTTATTTAATAATAATTAATCTTAAAAATGTACTTAAATTTTAATTTTTAATTTTCAAAAATTAGAATTTTTTTAAAATTTTTGTAAAAAGGAAAATTTATACTTTTATGATGATTGAATCTTTACAAGTCTGTAGCTTTATATATTAATATGTTGTCCTCACTGACATGAAATATTTAGTGAAAGCAGAGTTATTACAAAAAAATAAATGGTTCTTTGGAAAGAAGATACCCAAAATATGTTTCTGAAATATTAAAAAATATCTGAAATATTAAAAAAATCAGATATTTTATGTTTTATGATATGTCAAAATTTAATGGTAAATATTTAAAAAATAAAATAAAAACAAAATATTTTTTTTTATTAAACTATTTTGATATGTACATCAAATAGTTGGAAATAATGTATAAAGCACAAATTATTTCCAAAAATTGTAATACATTACAAAAATGTGCAAAGAACATTATGAAGTAATACAAAACACAAGGGTTGGATTGCCAAAGCTGGTTAAGTGTGAAGTTCCTAGTTTTATATATATATATATATATATATATATAATTATATTGATGAGAAAATTTTATAGAATAATAATTTTTATTTAAAAGTTTATTATAAAAAAATTATAACATTAAATAAATATTATTTGATTTTAAAGTTATAAAAAATTATTTTGACATTTTATCTACTTATTTAACAATATATTTTTCCTGCTCTTTCTTATTGTAATTGAAAAGCATTAGATCACTTTAAACAATTTAAGCAACTATTTATTGTGACATCGTAACAATGCTATGCTGCAATTTTTAATTTATTTAATTTAAAATATATGCTCTCCACCTCAAATTAGTACTGTAGTGTATTGCCCCTGTACATCATACTATTCTTTAACAATAGTGTTGTGCCAGTCATCTATTAACTGCTTTCAAGGGAAAAGTTTTGAATTGAAATAATGTGACTTCTGAATAATTGTTTAATTATTATGCCTTTTTGTCCTTTTTTACACTATTTATAATTTGTGTCAGGTGAACTTAATAAAGAACATTATTTTTAAACTGTAAGACTAAATATCTGCATCCATAAGTCCTGTTAATATATAGAATGTACTAGTATACAAAATAAATTATAAATGTGACTTCTGGTTTACATCGGAAGTTTATATATAGTTAGGGCCTCCTGTCCCTAAAGTTTTCATATTTAGTCTTGTCTTTTGTCTATCTAACTTTGTTCTCGAGATTAAGGAAAAACAGATGGATCAATGGTAGTGGGAATTTATAGGTCTACAATTTTTTCAAATTGCAGCTCAATAATGATGTAGATCAGCAGTTTCCAAAGTGTGTGCCGCAGCTTCCTCACAGGGGCATCACGAAATGTTATAAAATTTTTATAATGTTAGAATTTAATGTATCATATTTGTTAGATTTGACATAGGGCGTCTTTGGAAAATCTGCATTTAGCAAGGAATCAAAAAAAGTTTGGGAACCACTGATGTAGATGATAGTGATTTTTTATTATTATTGTATGGTAATGTGACTCATAGCAGTGAGAGTTGTTGTTATATGATTATTCACAGATTCTAAATGAATAACTTCATTTATATCATTATACCTTTTAACAATGATAAAAATATTATGTAAGAAAGAAGAAATTACATTACATTAATGTTTATGCAATAAATAAGTTTGATTTGTTTAACAACAACCAAGACACAGCATTTTCATGCTATATCTTGGTTTTTTTCAGATGTTAATGTGGATATTAACATTACTGTGTTAATGATCCACATCAAACACAACAAATCAATTTTGTGTTAGCATCAAATGTTATCTTATCATTTGCTCTTTGTTGATTCAATAAATGTATCTTTGTGTCTCTTACCTCATGTTTAGTGGACACCTTTTGTTCTGATTTACTTATGTAGGCAATAGCTACAATTTTGAAAATACTTCTGATTTAAATAAAATATTAGTTCCTCCCTCATTATATTAATTTTTATTTATTGTTTGAAGAATACAGTTGTTATTTTTATATGTAAAGGGATAAGCATAAAAAAAATCACACATATCCAATCAGAATCAATTCATTTATGACACATGATATGTATTCTAATAATCATGTAAATCTAACATTGCACTCCGGCAAACTGAAATTGCCACCATTATTTCTCTCTCACTTCAAAAATTTAAGTGGGGTGAGGATTTCAAGTATAGTAGGTCCTCAGTTTAATGGGATTAATTGCAGGAAAAGGTATCTGTTATTGCCAAAAGTTCATTAAATTGAGTGTGTTTTAAAATATACATTAACCTATCATATGTTGAAATTTTTCTCCATTGCGTATGGCCGCCATACGCAATGGAGAAAAATTTGTCGGTATTAAGCCTAACCAAAAAAAATTTTTTTTTGTTTAAATAACAATTGTGGCTATTATATCATTAAATTTTTTTTTTTTATTTTGCACAAACAAAATGAATATATTGAAAAATATAAAAACAAAATAAAATATATTTTTGAAAGTTTGTTTTAATATAAAAATTATGATGTGTGGCAACATTTAGTATAAAAAATGTTTTGATGCAGAAATGAGTATATTCGGGGTCAACGGGTTAGGTCAAATGAGGTCAATGCAAAAATACTCTGGAACAACACGGGACAGATTAATAATAAACTTAGTGTATAATAATAAAAAGTTTCTAAATTTTCTCTTTAGGACTGAAATTTTTTGTTTATTATATATGAAGTTTGTTAAATTGAGAATCTACTGAACTTACAGCACATTTTGATTTTAAAAGGTTGTCATAATCTGCATATATTATGATAGTAGCTATATATGTATTAAATACTTTCTTAATTACTTTGTGTTTATAGTTGTTTGAAATGACAATTATTCCTATTCTGGATGATGATAATGACAGTACATCCAGTTCTGTTACAGTGCAGTTTATTTTACCTTTTAAAATTTATTTTGTAATTTTTTAATTAAAATTTTTACACTGTATATTTATCATAAATATCTGTCTTCACATAGCTGATGAAAACAATTAATTTAAAATAATTTTGTTTTATTAACATATATTGTTTCTTAAATATATTTATATATATTTAATTGTAACAAAAACAAATCAAAATTACATTGCAGCATAAATGGAATTTAATACAGGCTATATAATAATGTATATATTAGATTGTGTTATGTGCTTATAATATATAATTAAATAAATAAATTAATTAATATTTTGAACAATTTTTATAGCACAGAATATTTACGATTAACTGCATTTTAATTTTTTTATTTTATAGAAGAACCAGAATTCTTAATTATAGCAGCTCATCAAGAAATAAAACGAATGGCATTAAATACAGAAGAAAATCATCTAGAAGCATTACCAATTCCATCTTTAAAGAATGTTGTAGCTGTTGAATATGATTATCATAATAATTGTGTCTATTGGGCAGATTTTGATGAAAATAAGTTAATGGTAATTAATTTTTATATAAAGTATATTATGATATAGCAGAAGTATTATAACTTCTTAAATTTTTTGTTGACAGAGAAATTAATTTTATTTATTAATATTTACATTATTTTCTTCATATTTCGTGGTGATAGAATTTCTCTGAAATTACAGAATGTTAGTTGTTGAACAGTTTTTAAATAAGTAAATGAAAATATATGTAGTTAATATAAGTTTTATTTATTACATTATATTTTTAATTTAAATTTTATTTATATTTATTAAATTAATTTGTGATCACTTGCATTTATTTTTAACACATGTGTGAGGTGCTGGACAGATCTGAACCCACAGTAAAATTTGCATTAAAATTATTTTTGAAAACATGATGCAAACTTTTAAACAATAGAAGAATGTAAGTCCTAAGATTGATTATTTCCAGTTAAGGATTCAAGTCGATTTCTCACAACTAAACTTTTTTGTTGTTTCATTCACTCATTTTATAAATAATAGAAGTTTATTAACCACTTGCTGCACGAATGTTTTTAAAGGAATTTTTAATTAAACATAAAAAATACTTGAAGAAAACGAAAGAAATGTGTTAATTTTGAAGAAAAAGCTTCAAACTTTATTTTCCATTGTCTCGCCTTTCTGCAAAATTTGACACCGATGAGTCATTGTTTACACAGCTGGATGACCTTGAAAACAGCTGGTGTCATATTTCCCGGGACATTCTCATAGACGTCTCAGGAGGAGAAGGGTTTAAAGTAGGGTGAATACTAGCTAGACCTATATTTTTAAATATTTTTAANTTAAAAAAATTAAAAAACTATTGGAGGTCGTTTTTGACATCAGAAAGCAGCTTTAAATAACTTTACCGAAGTCAAATCCGTGCACTACAACTTTAGAACGATTAATTAATTTTGATAAAAAAATCCCATTAAAAAACAATTAAGCCTTAATCGAGCCTTATCAAAGGCTAATTAAAATCGCGATAAAATTTTTTTGTGCAGGTAAAAATTTTTGAAAAAATTTGGAGACTTAAAAAACATTCCAAAAATCAAAAACAAATTTTGGGGGGCAAAAAGGATTGCATTTTCTGTAACGCTATGCAACATGCCCAAGTTAACTTGGGACTGGGCGTTACAAGTTTATAAAGTTCTTGAAAAAATTTTATAATGTTGAAGTAGGATGATTTTGTATTAAATTAAAGTTTGTACTTGGGCATGTCACTGAAGATAAGTTTTAGACAGGATGTTTTCAAGGAAAAAAAGATAAAAAGATCTTGTAGTAAGCTGAAATTATTTTTATTTATTTGTGATTTTTATAAATAACTGAAAATGAAATCATACCTTTTATTAAATTTTTACTTTTTTTAATTAAAATATTTTTTATGTGGTTTTTATTATAATAATTATTAATGTTTTTAGAGATTATGTTTGGATGGAAAAAGTGAACCTGAAGTTTTATTACATTTTATCAAATTAGCAGTGGAAGGTTTAGCACTGGATTGGATCAGCTATAATTTATATTTTGTTGATGGATTTGCACCAGCTGTGAAAATAATAAATGTTAATAATTCATTTTCAACTCTTCATAGAACTATATTAAATGCAACATTTGTTGATAAACCTAGAGGAATTGCAGTTCATCCTCATAGAGGGTAAGATTATCATTGTATCTTTTAAGTATTTCTTAAATGTCAGCAAATTGCTGTTCAATAAAATGTTGAATATCATTTTGCTTACTGAATAATACATTTATAATGTAACAAAATGTGTACATAACTATTTAAGAAAGTAAAGCCTGTGTAGATAGAATTACACAGTATTGAATTGTTGTTTCCATTTTGGACAGATTTTAGTTTTTTTTTTAGACTTTAAACTATACCAGATAAATGTTCATTACAATTATTTTTTAATAGTACTTTTCACTTTAACATGTGCAAAAACTTACTGCTAAGTTTAATTCAAACTGATTTCAACTAAAGATGGTAGTATTCAAATGCAACAATTGAGAACTATTCAATTGCAAAAAGTCTTTGTCTTAGATTTAGATATTTAAATACTTCTAAGTTATAATCTTTATGAGTTGAATTTGATCACATTTCAATAATACAAAGACCCAAGTCATTCTGTGATCCTACTTTTCAAGGAATTTCAATATTTAATTAATCATTAACTTCAATCTCTTTAATTATCAATATGCTAATCAACTTGTTCTCACATATATGAATATCTAATACCAAATAAGACAACAGTTGGATGGCTGAGTGGTATGTCAGCTATTGTTCTGGAAGACCTAAACAAATCCATATAGGTCAAAAAACCTTGGAATTCTTTGGGGGTGGTCCATACCAGATATGTTGGGCTCTGTCCCTCATCACCCAGCTGCAAATTGTGGGCCTGGTGAAACCCATGATGGGTTTGATTAAAAGACCATCTTAGTGCACACAGAATAAAAAGATGAAAAAAATCCTTACAAGAGAAACTGGCAGCATGTATAAGCTTATTTTCATTGTTTTCATGTATTATGTTTGTTGTTTGTTTTCAGAAACTCATTCCAGTTCTTGAAAGTTTTCTATTTTCAAAAATATTTGATTTTGCATCTGGTTAATTGTATCTTTACATAAATATATAAAGAAAGAATTCAATTATTTTCTATATTAGATACATAAATGAGGATTTTATTTCTTCAAATAATAAAATTCTCATTTAAAACACCACTATGTAAGCTGAATCTAATTTAGCTTGAACAACACCTTAAATACTCTTTCCAGCAACACTTTAATTTTAATTTATTTAAGTTTAACTTTAAGTTCTAATTGACATTCTAACAGATTTTTAAAACAAATTTTAAAAAGATTTAACACAGGAATGCACAACCTTTTCTGAAGAAGGGTCAGGTTAAGATTAAGTTTACTGATTAGGGGGCCAGACCATTTGTTGAGAACAAATCTAAGTCTAATTACTTTAGCCTCATTGTTGAGAACAAATCTAAGTCTAATTACTTTAGCCTCATTGTTAAGAACAAATCTAAGTCTAATTAATTTAGCCGCGTGGGCAGTGCTGACAATCACAGGAAGTTTATGGCTTGATATGGTTTGAATTAATTATTAAATCCAAAAATTTTTAGTGCAGTCAGCTTCCTTTTAGTCTTATGACTCTATTTCAACTAATAATTTTCTTGGTCCAATGTAATACAGTAGAGCGTCGTTTATCCGAATCAATTGGGGAATGGGTTGTTTGGATAACCGATTATGTACAAAAAAATATAATAACCTATCCCATGTCTATCCCATGTTGAAATTTTTCTCCGTTGTGTATCGCTTTGCGTTGAATTTTTGTCAATGTTTAGCCTAACGTAAACTTTTTTAAATAATAATCATGGCTATTGTATCATTAAAAATATTTCTTTATTTTTTACAAACAAAATAAATACATTGAAAAATATAAAAACCAAAAAAATATACTTTAGAAGTTGATCTAATATCAAAAATGTTCGATTCAGCACAACACACAGTGCTCAGAAAAACACCACACAAAAATGCCAGTGCTGCCAGCTAAAAAAAACACCAAGAAAAAAAATATTGGAGTAGCCCAAGATATAGCCAAAGATTGCAGTGCCACAGCACTAGTGAAAATTTAAATTTGCCGACTGGAATGCTTTCAGTTAACTGATGTTTCAGGTAATCGGCTTTCGGATAAATGATGCTCTACTGTAATTAAAAATTTTGGTGCAAAAATTTTTTTTCTATTTTTGGCTTATGGAGAGACAATGTTGTAAATTATTGGTTGTTATAGCTTTTGTGCATTTCTTTTTGAACTCTGATTGATTTTTTTTCTAGTTTGAATGACATTAAAGTGTCTTTTCGGAAAAGATTGATTCAAATTTCTCAGGAAGTACCTTTTCGACTATACCAATCAGAATCTAGAATGTAAACAAATGCTAAAAAATAGTTATTTTCATGGTTTTTCAAAAAAACCATGCTATTTGCACTTATTTTTATGTTATTTGATGCTATTTAGACGAATAAGCAAGTTTCCCAAAGCATAAAATTGAAAATTTTCCACCAAAATAGAACTTCCTGATAACATTGAAAATAACATTTTAACTTCACTTATTCTATTTTATTCTTCGAAAAATCGTTATAATATTATGTTAGACTTAAAATATTTGATATCTAAACCAGAAAGTGTGTTAGCTAGAAATAGACAAACTTCAACTGCTCTCATTTTCTCAATAAAAGATGACATTAATCTAAATGTTTTTTAGCTTTTAGAAATTTTGAAACAGAAGAAATACTATACAGTTTAAGGAATGAAAATGCAACATAGATCAATTAAACAGATTTAAAGATATCGTGCATCTTATCTCTAGCTTGAACACTTTAAAGATATTATGTTCTTTGTTTGAATCTATTTAATATATATAAATAAATTAGATCAACTTCTTTAGAATATATCAGAAGATGAGATGTGAAAAATATTAAAAAACATTTAATAAACAGAATAAATTGTATTACAACAACTCCTTAAACTATATAGCATTTCTTTTTTTGAAGATTTCTAAGGAAAAATGGAGTTGGTTGTAACAAGACAGATGTTATTGTATTTAGAGAAAATATTAAAATAATTCAGTAAGGAACAGTTATTTAAAAGAGTGCTCAATTGTCATTTTTGTTAAATGTAATATTCTTAATATTGAGAATTAAGGTTTGTAGATTAATAATTTTAATTAATTATTTTCTTTATAAAACAGATGTATTATTATTTTTTTATTAACATAAAAAATTTCATACTAAATTAATATCTCTTTTTAGGTATTTATTTTTGACAGACTGGAGTGATAAAACACCTAAAATTGCAAGATCATACCTAGATGGATCTCATTTTGTTACTTTAATTAATTCTTCAGTAGTAGCTTGGCCAAATGGAATTACTATTGATTATCAACAAGAAAGAATATTTTGGGCAGATTCCAAAAAAGATTATATTGCATCCTCTGATTTTGATGGTCTTAACATCAGATTTGTGTTACAAGGAGATTCAGTCATTCCTCATGCATTTGCAATAGCAGTTTATAAGGTAAAACATGCTTAAATCTTCAAATTATACATATACAGTAAAACCTCTTTAAGACAACCATCCAAAAACTTATGAAAGCTGGTCATCTCAAAGGGGGATGACAAAAATAAGCTTACAGAATAATGTACAATACATAATACTGTGAGAATATGGACGAGGGTCCAGGCCCTCTAATCGTCAGATCTGTTAGACCTGCTTACCTTGTCACTGGATGGTTTAAATTTTTTCAGAACCCGAGTGGTAAGATTCTGTGTGGGTTGTGCATAAGGAATAAATACTCGACTACGAAAGTCAGGAATATAAAAATCAACAATTTAATCACAGAAGACCAGAATAACAAGGACAAATAATAGATTAACAACACAAAACATATGTCTACTCTATGACGATAATCAGTATGAGAGAGTTTACAATAAAATCATATTACCTTGATGTACATGACTCGAATAGTTGGTGGTTGCTGGCTAGAAGTGCCCAGGTCCAAATTCAAGGAGAGACTGTATGTGGCATGTTCTATCTGAGGGGGAACTGCTTCTCTATGGCAACTACTCCTGTCGTAGACTGCCCCGAGTGTATAAAAACTTGCCCTTTTATTTCCGATTATGACCTCATCTTTTTCCCAAAAATGTCGTGTCATCTGCACAGGTGGTGTGCAAAATTCTAAGATATGAGGTGTGGAGGAAGGAAGCAAAACATCCTCGGTTCTTGTAAAATGTAGTGTAATAGAGTAGTTTTTCAGGATGTTGAAGTTTTTATAACCTTTTTTGGTTATATTAACTTTATTCTAAATTTTATCAAATTTCCCTTTTTAATTGTAGTTAAATTAAATTATTTATTTAAGTTGTTTGAGGTAAAAATTATATAAATCCATTTAAGAATACCTTCAGATTATCACAATACTGTGTCTAATAGTAATACATAGTATATATAGTATTCTAGTTTAACACTACACACACTACTGTGTAAGCAATAGTAAGCAATACAGCAAAAACTTTTAAAATCCTATGTATTGATTAACACTTTACTGCAAGAAAATTTATTTCATAATATATCACATGTAATTCTGTTTACTTACTTGAAAATGTAATACATAGTCTTAAATGTTTGTTTTATCATTCTGAAATGGACATTTGTGTTCTGTTTTAACTTTTTTGATATTTCTTTTCTATTTGGTTAAACAAATTCAAAAAATTTCCGAATTTTACCCAGATCTGTTGTCGTCAATTACCATTTTAACTTTCCCCAATAATGAAAATTAATTCATTGGCATTGTTATATTATTTAATTTAATAATAATAAATAGAATAATAGAATAAAGCTGGGAATAAATTGTTGAGGATATTAACAGAAAATTATGTATGTTCTCCACAATAGGACTGAATAAGAGAAAATAAGGACATTGAAGTTTGAAAAAATGTTGAATTTTTACATCTAACACAACAGTGCAATTGACATGTACAATGCCTAACATTATACATGCTCATGACCTCAGTTTTATCATCCCATCAAGTGATGATGAAACCGATCATCTCAAAGAAAGTATTTCAGACAAAGGATTATTAGAGCCCAGATAATTATTGGTTGAGTAAAGGAGTGGTCAGTTTAAGGAGAATTAAAAACAATGAATTCTATGGAATGAAAAATCTGGAGAGGTTTTACTGTATTTATTTAAATATCTTATTTTTTTACATGAATAAAAGAATTCTTTCATCGTTTTATCAAGTTTTCCTTAACATTTTCAGAATAAATCAACAAGTAGAATTTTAGATAATAGTGTGTACTTTGGATCATTACCAAAGTACACAATTATCTTAAATTAATGAATATTTAAGTATGTTATACTTAATTATTCATTAATTAAGATTTTTACTAACCAACACCAATTTTTTATTACGATAATAGTGTGTACTTTGGATCATTACCAAAGTTCACAATTATCTTAAATTAATGAATATTTAAGTATGTTATACTTAATTATTCATTAATTAAGATTTTTACTAACCAACACCAATTTTTTATTACAAGTACTTCTGGCATTTTGAAAAGGTCAAAAGTACTCATTAAATTATAAAATTAGTGCTGGTTAGTATGGATTTTCATTATTTGATATCAGTATCCAACTTGTGACTTGTGTTGAATTGCACTTTGATTCATTTTGATATATATGTCTATAAATTTTGTTACATTAGGCATTCTTAACATATAAATAGTGTCATTGAAAATCTATTTATTTGTGTCCAGCTAGTAAATATGTTTTAATATTATCAAGCATTAATATTTTACTAGTCTAACTTGTTGATATACAGTGAAACTTCTATATTCGATATTCGTCACATTTTGATGACTTTTATTTTTCTGTATTTGTCACCATTTCCAACACTGGAGTGGCACTGCAATCGCATACCTCTGCCGATCAGCCAGCTGTAGTTAATAAGTCTGCTCTTTGCAGTTGTTTTTGTATGTGTTGTTGAGTTATTGAAAAATCATCAATACAAGAAACCAAGTTCTAATCGTTCCAAAGTGGCAACCAAATGTTGCTATAGTCAACCAAAATACAAATACATTCAATGATAATTTAATTGCCTACTTCAGAAAAGTTTTAAAAAGCAGACAAAAAAACACAACACTGGACAAGTTCTTTATTAAATCAGTGCTACTTTTGATTTATATAAACTATGATAATTTGAGGTTTTCAAGTTGCCCTTTACAGGTTTTATGTCAGATATGGCACAAGCAGTAACCAGGCAATGTCCTCACCTTTAAATAGTGATGTGTCTCAGTGAAAAGTTTACTGTCATATAGAAACAGATGGAAAATGATTTGCTCAAAAACAAAACATTTTTAACAACAAAAATGTTTTATTAACTGTCTAGGTTTTGAGTTTAGCACTAAGACATTTTCTCCTCCATAAAATGTGGATCTTATAGTGGATTATCATTTCCTTCTTTCTACTTTTTGTAGACTAGGCTTGTTGATTATAATTTTGTCTGTGTTTATTTGAACCATGAAGATGTTAATACTTAGATGTACCCCTTTTACAGCAGGGTTATAGCTATCTCACAGTAAGAGTTAAAGATGGAACTTCATAATAATATTTTTTCCATAAATAAAATATCACTTTAAATACAATTTTTTAATATTTATCATATTGATATAAAATTCTTTATCTTATTTTAACTAAATTGATATAACTATATTATTGATATAACTAAATTGATTATTTTAACTATATTGATATAAAATTCTTTATCTTATTTTAATTAAACTTTGCTTCTGTTCCAGAATGAATTATATCCGTACACTATAATAATGCTATTTCTTCGACCATTGAAATGAAAAGCTTTAATATTCTCTATCTTACATAAATTCTAAATTTTCTTCTAGTAATTTTTTTTTATCTTCTAAAACATACCCAAACTATAATTTTTGGAACAAATTCAGTCTGTGGTATCACATCAGTCAGGCCTGCAAAATATTTGACACATAAATAGGCTTACTTTTGGTATATATGGAATATAAAAAATATCTGTTTTCCACCTACAGTATCTATGACTTATGCTCATTTTGACCCAACAGTCAAAAAGTTTGCACACCACTGTTCTAAAAGATTGTGAGTTTAGTTTTCTAGAGGACTGACATTGGTCATTTTAGTAAGTGAAATAGTTGATAATGATTATGGAAGTTAGATAAATCTTTATAAGGTTTGAAAATATCAGTACTTGTAAAATGATTGAATAGATATATTTTTTGAGAAAATGCATCTATCCTGCTATCAGGTTGTTCAATAAGTTTTGTCGTTTGATAAGAAAAACACAATTTTATGGTTTGAAATACATTTTATTATTCAATATAATCTCCCTGAACTTCAATACACTTGTTCCAGTGATCTTCTAATTTATGGATTTCATCCCTAAAGTGAGAATCCGGAAGACTGTCGAAATACGCTTCCATGGCTTCTTCATTCGATGAAAATCGTTTCCCACGCATGAATTTTTTGAGATGTGAGAACAGCCAGAAGTCAGAGGGAGCTAAATCTGGCGAATAGGGAGGATGTTGCAACAATTCGTATTTTAATTTACTGATTTTCGCAATGGTTTTTTGAGCAGTGTGAGAGGGTGCGTTGTCTTGATAAAAAATGATTTTTTTCTTTTTAAACCAGGTCTTTTCTCAAGAATTTTTACATCCAGCTGATCCAAAAGGTTACAATAATAATCTGAGTTTATTGTTTTACCAGTTTGGAGGTAATCCACAAACAAAATTCCTTTTGCATCCCAAAAAACTGATGCTAACACCTTCTTGGCCGATTTCTGGACCCTAACTCGCTTTGGAGCTGAAGTACCGGGTTCACACCACTCCTTAGTCTCTTGTTTTGATTCAGGATCATGGTGGTAGACCCAAGTCTCATCCATAGTGATGAAACGATGCACAAAATTTTTTTTATCCTTTCTAAAACGCTCCAAATGTTGCTGAGAAAGTTGCATTCGAATGTGTTTTTGTTCCATAGTTAGCGAATGCGGCACCCATTGTGCACACAGCTTTCTGTAACCCAAAACTTCGGCTAAAATATTGCTCACATTGCCTAATGAAATCCCTAGGGCTTCTACTAAATCTCTCTCAGTTAATCGACAATCTTCCAAAACCATATGCTGTATTTTTGCTATGATTTCTGGTGTTGATGCACTTTTTGGACGTCCTTCATGTGAATTGTCTTCAAGACTCATACAACCACGTTTAAATTCAGCAACCCATCTTTCTACTGTTCTGATTGAAGGTGAAGAGTTCTTTTACACTTTTAACAATCGTTCATGAATTTGTTTTGGTGCTACACCTTCCAAAAATAAGAATTTTATCACTGCACGATATTCAATTTTTCCATTGTAAAAAAATACAGTGACACGTCGACTTTGAACAGCTGCAAATATGCAATGAGTTGACGGATCTACTTGAAACTTGACACGTGTTTATGAAATAGTAGTACTATTTATAGAGAAATAAAGTGACGATCCTAATAGTGCCACCTCTTATCAAATGACAAAACTTATTGAACAACCTGATATTTGGAAATAATAATGTTTCTAAACTACAGAGTAAAGTTCAAATCATGTCTTCCAGTTTTCAGTCCATCAAAAAGAACACCATACGACTCCTTGAACATAAATTAAGTCTATTATTTAACACTATTTACACAGCAATACATCTTGATTACTTTTAATTACAGTGTCTTAGTCCAGACCTCCTTCTCCTCATACAGTCTTAGGCTAGGCTCTTCTTTCTTTGATCTAATGTTGCCTTATATCTAAGTTTTGAATTTGTTGTCCAACCAATCCAGAGCTGAGCTGAGCTTTCTATTGGGTCCATCTTGGTTGGCATATCTGTCTCAACTTGTCCAGGATGGCTTGCCAGCCATCCCTTTCCAGAAAATGTGCTCTGACATGTGAAAACACGACCTATCTTGTCACCTACAAGATAGACCACCTTGACATACAGTAATTAAAAACTTTTCCTTTTTATAAAAGTCTTAATTTTACTTGAACATTGCTCATATTTTTATATTTATATATCATCTTTTAGATGAACATAAAAATACGATTCAAAAAACTACAAAATTTTATATATAAAATTTATGATTTTATTATTTTTTTTTCATCAATAACAATTAGTTAGTTTTTTTTATTTTTATTTTTAGGATTGGATTTATTTTGATGATTGGATTAAAAAAGGAATATTTATGGCAAACAAATATGATGGTTCTGGATTAATTCAGTTGGCAGAAACTATTAATCATCCAATGGATTTAAAAATTTTTTCATCAGGAATGCAGCAAGGTAAATTGAAAATTTTAATTAAATTAATCTAAAAAAAATAAAATTTTTAAAAATTCAAATTTTACATTTTTAACTGTTTGGAATATATAATTGATATAAATTTTAAAATTGCAATTCTTTAAAGGATTTATAAGGATAAAAATGTTCATAGAATTTAATTATTTTTAAGAAATTGAAAAAGTAATAGGTGAATAAGTTTAAAAAATTATTTTAGGAACATAATTCTTCAAAAAATGTTACCTATTGTACCTTAATGACCATTAATAAGAAAGTAAACACATGAAAAGTATACTTGCAAAGAGAAGATTTAATGATATGATGAGTTTCAAATGTTATCTTTAGAGTTTATAGCAAATAAATGTTCAAGATTTAAGTACTTCTCACGATTTATAGCAGAATAGAAAAAAGCATTATCAACTGTACTTCTTGCAAGAAAATCTGTTTCATCACTCAGTATTTAATCATAGCATAATAACTTATAAAAGACTGCTGGACTTAATTTAAATATATATGGAATATTTTAAGGTAAATTATTTACTTTAAAAAATTTAATTTACACAATTTTGATTAAAATAGTTGTCATCTTTAATAATGATTATTAAAATAATGAAAGATTGGGAAAATATATATATATGTTACTGTGAAAGACCGATATTAGAGAATGTCGATATTCTCCGGTGAATGTTGACACATACAAAATACGTTGGTGAAAGTCCGAATATTTGGTTATATTATTATACATTCGAACAGTCGGCAGTGTATGTTGACAAGCACAGATAAGCTTTGGTGGAGGTTGAAACGACACTCAAGAAGCCAATGTAGACAGAGAGGCAACAGTCTGTTGCCAAATCCTTTGTGGGTAGCCAGAGGTAGGACAAGGTCTTTTGATCCCTTGAGGTGGGAATCAGTTTGTCAGGTTGAGTGGCTGAGGATGAGAGGGATCGTTGGTAAGGCGTCGGTGATATCTGAATAAAAGACACCATTAACAGATCAGTTTGTAATCAGTTCATAATTTGTAAAGAAAAGTTACTTTCCATAGATGAGATTTCTTCTCAAGAAATATTGCTGAGAGAAGCAGCTGCAGCTAATTCGAAAAGTGGAGGGCAAGGCTATACATGCTGTCATTGTAAAAAAAGTGTTCCACAAATAAATGTAGTCATAAAAGCAAGGGATTCTTGTGCAATTCAAAGTGCCATAACTAAGTTGTTGCAATAAATAAGATTGTGTAACGTTAATCACATAATTTATGTTGTAAGTTTATTATTGTATTATTTTCTTTAATGATTAAGAATGTACTGTTTGTTTTAGGTTCAACAGTTTATTTAAATGTGCTGTTACATAAGCTTTCTCCTATTTTCACATATTAAAATGTTGCATTTTTGTCTTAACATAACAAAAATATTTTTATTCAACATATACCATCAGTGCATGCTAAATGTCGACATTTGCTAGTGTAAGTGAGAAATAATGATACTTGGCAAATATTTCATACATACACGAAATGACTGTGTGAATGCTGACATTCACCGGAGAATGTTGATATTTGCCAGATATCAGTCATTCACAGTAACATATATATATTCTAAAACGCGTATTTATATATTTTTGATCATTAAATTTGTTACAGTTTATTATGATAAAAAACAAAATTGTTTGTTTCAGGTAACTAAAATCTTTTACTTAAGAATATTTTTGACCATCCTTGGTTACATGTAAATTGAAAGTTTTTGACAAAGTTAAAAATACAGAACATTTCAAAACATATACTAAATGTATTAAAATATTTCACACAAATCATTTTTTTAAATAAAATTTTTTAAAAAACATTTTAAAAAATCATTAATAAAAATAAATTATAAACTTAATCATAAAAATGCAATTTATAACAGAATCTTATAAAAACATATTTATACAAAAAAAATATATCAAATTAGTTAATAAAGTAATTAAAACTAAATTTATAAATTATTAAATCATTTTATTACTTTTTTGCATTGCCATAATACACACATTGATCAGCAGTTCATTCCATTTCATTGTAATGTATCATCAACATCAAATAATCAAACTGCTATTTATTATTTTTACCAACTGTACTTGTACTTGATAAAAATGTACAATGGAGTGTATTTGTACCCCAAAGCAAATGGTAACTTATAATTACCATCTGCTATCTTGTAATCAAAAATGTTATGTACTTGTGCAGAATTTTACATCTCTCTATTTTACTGTATTTTCACAAAAAGTAATCCCTATTTATGATGATTATTTCAAGCATAATTTGAATGAAGTAAGTTCAAATTAAATATAATTTTTAAATAATCTCAAATATATTTCTCAACTATCAGCATTTTATAATGGAAAATTCCTTGATTAAAATGAGTGTTTGTCTGGTTATGATTAAAGGATATAGCATTGTTTTGTAAATTAATAATGATAGTTACTTCCATCAACAACAATACCATTACTCCAAAAATGGTAAGAATTGACAAAATAATAATAATACTGATTAATTCCCATTAAAATATTTTCAAAAACATGAGCAACATAAGCCAATAAATCAAGTATGTCTTTGAATCATTTTAAATACACTTGTGTGACACTACAAAATGTTTTTATTTCAATATAGTATGCATCAACTATAGATATATTCAGTTTATTATTAGATTAAAAGTAATGATTCTTTTGTAAATTGCATCTAGGCAATACCATTACATGTAAATATTTTTTAGGATAAAAATTTGTATATATATATATATATACAATTATCATAGTTAACAACTTGTATTGAACTAATAAAAAATTGAATAGAAAATAGTGCACAATAACTTTTAAGTTTTTTTATTTGTTTTAAAATATGTTTTATATTTACATATTTATTCACTTTATTTTTTTGTTATATTTTACAGGAAGTAATATGTGTAAAAATTCAAGCTTTACTCCATGTAGTCATATGTGTATTCCATATCCACATAATAACAGAATATGTGTTTGTCCTGATGGAGCAAATGTACAAAAATTGAAAGATGGAAGTGAAAAATGCTTATGTCCTGGAAATTATTTAATGCAACCTGATGGTTTTTGCCTTCCAGGTAAATTGAAAATGAATTTTTTGGTTTAGTGAATTTAAATAATTTGATTTTCATGCATATATTTTTAAAGTCAAATAATCCTTTCTGTTATGTTCTTTTATGCTTGTTCATTTTACATTAAATAACAATACATAGTTTTAAAATTTGATTGTTGATTTTCAAAATAAATATTAATTATCACTGAATATTTTTTGAATACTTTGATAAATTTTAACAATACATTTAAATATGAAAAATATACATTTTTTTTTTTTCTTAAAATATGAATGAATATCAAAAACATTGACAAGAAAACAGAATTATTGAAGAAAAACGGAAGAAGATGCAAACATTTTGAGCAGTGAATAAAATTATAAAAACATTTATCTTTTGTGAAAGAAAAACTGTCCTTATGTAAAATGGAAAATTTTATGTCTCAAATTGGATGAAGCTCAACTGTTTAAGGATGAAAATTATATTAATTTTCTTCAACAGGTTTATTACCATCAAATTAAGTAGTGAACTTACAATTCTGCAAGTTTTAATAAAATAATAATGAAGGATTCAAAATATAGAAGAGAAGAGAGAGAAAAATTAATGAATTAAATTTATGATGTATAATTTGGCTTTTTTAACCAGTGCATATAAACAGTTTTTGTTTGTCACTTTTTAAATGAAAAATACCAAAGTTTATGCATATTCATACTTATAAGATCCTTTTCATGTGATTTTTTTTTTCTTTTTTCTAATATAAAAAATACATTTAAAAAAATTATTTTTAATCAATTGAAATTATTTATATTGATTCATAAAAATATTTATTTAACATTTGTTAAACTATTTAATAGTCATATCTTACATTATTTTTATTTTGAATTAATATAGTTGTATACAATTGCTGTTTTTTCATTATTACAGATGTAAATCTTTTTAAAATTTTTTAACATTTGTATCCTATATATTTTCTTTTTATTTAGATTTTTTCCAGACTTCTGTGAGACTTAAGAACAAGTTGTTTTTAATAATCAAGAAATATTAATTTTTTAAAATAAACTGAAAGTACTGGAGTTTAATTTTTACAAAATAAAATTTTCATATGTAATTCATGAGCAACAGAAGCCAATAAATAAAATGAAATAAAAATTTTTAATTGAACAAAAAGTAAAATGTTTTAGTTAAAAGATACTAAGGTCTTGATGATTAAATGATTTAGAAGAATGATTTTTTTATTACTTTTTACATAATTTTATTATGTTCTATTGGATTTTAAAATCTTTAAGTGATTCTGTTCAAATTATCTTCAAAACAAACTGTTATATAAAAATAAGAATAGAATTGGTCAAAAATAAATAAGTTTCAATACAGACCAGATTATGTAATATAAAACAACATATGAATATTGTTACTAGTTACAATAAAGTAGTTTTAGATAGTTTTCAATAAAGACATAATCATATACAATTGATTCAAGACTTGGTAAATGATTTATGCTATGAATGTGATTTATGCTATGCTTTTGAGATATAAAAAATGGCAAAATGTTTTGTAATACATATTTTTTTCATATAACGTATAATTTTTTCTAAGAATAAAGAGCTCTAACTTTTTCAATTTCATTCTTTTATATGCAATATCTTTGAAGAAAAAACTTAGAAATAAACAATTCTGAATTGCCATAATACACACATTGATCAGCAGTTCATTCCATTTCATTGTAATGTATCATCAACATCAAATAATCAAACTGCTATTTATTATTTTTACCAACTGTACTTGTACTTGATAAAAATGTACAATGGAGTGTATTTGTACCCCAAAGCAAATGGTAACTTATAATTACCATCTGCTATCTTGTAATCAAAAATGTTATGTACTTGTGCAGAATTTTACATCTCTCTATTTTACTGTATTTTCACAAAAAGTAATCCCTATTTATGATGATTATTTCAAGCATAATTTGAATGAAGTAAGTTCAAATTAAATATAATTTTTAAATAATCTCAAATATATTTCTCAACTATCAGCATTTTATAATGGAAAATTCCTTGATTAAAATGAGTGTTTGTCTGGTTATGATTAAAGGATATAGCATTGTTTTGTAAATTAATAATGATAGTTACTTCCATCAACAACAATACCATTACTCCAAAAATGGTAAGAATTGACAAAATAATAATAATACTGATTAATTCCCATTAAAATATTTTCAAAAACATGAGCAACATAAGCCAATAAATCAAGTATGTCTTTGAATCATTTTAAATACACTTGTGTGACACTACAAAATGTTTTTATTTCAATATAGTATGCATCAACTATAGATATATTCAGTTTATTATTAGATTAAAAGTAATGATTCTTTTGTAAATTGCATCTAGGCAATACCATTACATGTAAATATTTTTTAGGATAAAAATTTGTATATATATATATATATACAATTATCATAGTTAACAACTTGTATTGAACTAATAAAAAATTGAATAGAAAATAGTGCACAATAACTTTTAAGTTTTTTTATTTGTTTTAAAATATGTTTTATATTTACATATTTATTCACTTTATTTTTTTGTTATATTTTACAGGAAGTAATATGTGTAAAAATTCAAGCTTTACTCCATGTAGTCATATGTGTATTCCATATCCACATAATAACAGAATATGTGTTTGTCCTGATGGAGCAAATGTACAAAAATTGAAAGATGGAAGTGAAAAATGCTTATGTCCTGGAAATTATTTAATGCAACCTGATGGTTTTTGCCTTCCAGGTAAATTGAAAATGAATTTTTTGGTTTAGTGAATTTAAATAATTTGATTTTCATGCATATATTTTTAAAGTCAAATAATCCTTTCTGTTATGTTCTTTTATGCTTGTTCATTTTACATTAAATAACAATACATAGTTTTAAAATTTGATTGTTGATTTTCAAAATAAATATTAATTATCACTGAATATTTTTTGAATACTTTGATAAATTTTAACAATACATTTAAATATGAAAAATATACATTTTTTTTTTTTCTTAAAATATGAATGAATATCAAAAACATTGACAAGAAAACAGAATTATTGAAGAAAAACGGAAGAAGATGCAAACATTTTGAGCAGTGAATAAAATTATAAAAACATTTATCTTTTGTGAAAGAAAAACTGTCCTTATGTAAAATGGAAAATTTTATGTCTCAAATTGGATGAAGCTCAACTGTTTAAGGATGAAAATTATATTAATTTTCTTCAACAGGTTTATTACCATCAAATTAAGTAGTGAACTTACAATTCTGCAAGTTTTAATAAAATAATAATGAAGGATTCAAAATATAGAAGAGAAGAGAGAGAAAAATTAATGAATTAAATTTATGATGTATAATTTGGCTTTTTTAACCAGTGCATATAAACAGTTTTTGTTTGTCACTTTTTAAATGAAAAATACCAAAGTTTATGCATATTCATACTTATAAGATCCTTTTCATGTGATTTTTTTTTTCTTTTTTCTAATATAAAAAATACATTTAAAAAAATTATTTTTAATCAATTGAAATTATTTATATTGATTCATAAAAATATTTATTTAACATTTGTTAAACTATTTAATAGTCATATCTTACATTATTTTTATTTTGAATTAATATAGTTGTATACAATTGCTGTTTTTTCATTATTACAGATGTAAATCTTTTTAAAATTTTTTAACATTTGTATCCTATATATTTTCTTTTTATTTAGATTTTTTCCAGACTTCTGTGAGACTTAAGAACAAGTTGTTTTTAATAATCAAGAAATATTAATTTTTTAAAATAAACTGAAAGTACTGGAGTTTAATTTTTACAAAATAAAATTTTCATATGTAATTCATGAGCAACAGAAGCCAATAAATAAAATGAAATAAAAATTTTTAATTGAACAAAAAGTAAAATGTTTTAGTTAAAAGATACTAAGGTCTTGATGATTAAATGATTTAGAAGAATGATTTTTTTATTACTTTTTACATAATTTTATTATGTTCTATTGGATTTTAAAATCTTTAAGTGATTCTGTTCAAATTATCTTCAAAACAAACTGTTATATAAAAATAAGAATAGAATTGGTCAAAAATAAATAAGTTTCAATACAGACCAGATTATGTAATATAAAACAACATATGAATATTGTTACTAGTTACAATAAAGTAGTTTTAGATAGTTTTCAATAAAGACATAATCATATACAATTGATTCAAGACTTGGTAAATGATTTATGCTATGAATGTGATTTATGCTATGCTTTTGAGATATAAAAAATGGCAAAATGTTTTGTAATACATATTTTTTTCATATAACGTATAATTTTTTCTAAGAATAAAGAGCTCTAACTTTTTCAATTTCATTCTTTTATATGCAATATCTTTGAAGAAAAAACTTAGAAATAAACAATTCTGAATAAATATTATTAATTTTTTAATTCAAGTAATTGGCTTTTATTCAGAATTCGTTTAATCAAGGCTTTATTTTGATTTTTGTGTATAATAGTGCTTTTTTATTTCTTCTAAAAGATTGGAAACATTTAAATTTGCAAAATAACATTTAGATGACAAAACAAAAATATTCTTGAGATATTTATATACTATTATCTTCTCTTTTATATTTATAAATATTTAAATTTTTTAGAAAATGTTAAAATATCTTTTATGATGAAATGTTTGGAAGCAGAAAGTTTTCAATGGATACTATTTCTTTTTTTAATATAAAATAATTTTGAATTTATTTTAAAGTTGGTTTCTTCAGATATCTAATTTAGTTTATTCACAATTTAGAATTTTCACATTTGAATAAATGATCACATTCATTTACTGATTCTTCACTTTTCACTTGAAAATAAAAAAGCTACTTATTATCAAAAAACAAATTAAATATAAACATATAAAATTCAAAGTAATATATTTAATATCAATTTCTTGAATTATTATATTAAAAACTAAAATAGTAAAGTTACATTGATCTGATTTATCTACTTACTCATTCACTTGCTCAATGACTTAAAATGTTTCCTTACAGGGAAATGAAAATAGTAAGTAGAGAATTTATATTTATTTATTATTTTATATGACATTTGCAAATATCATAGCAAAGAGAGAATTTTCTATGGAAGAATGGTATAATTTCAAAGAAACTTTAATAGTATGAAAGACTTCTCTTGCCTGGATATCTGCAACAATACAGTCAGACGTGGAAGCATAATGTAACAGATGGTAACATCCTGCAACAGATTTTTTCACAGATGTTACAAGTGTTACTCCAGATCCCTCGTGTACATAGATGACCAATGCTGAAATCCCATCCGGTCTCAGAAATACTTGACAGCCAACATATTTGGACAGGTCAAAGAAGTGTGGAAACATGATGGAAATATTCCTGAGAAATCCCAATTGTGTACAGCTAAGCATTATTTTGCTTATCTTAAAAATGGCTGTTTCAGCCTTGCTACAAAAGACAACAAATGAGGATGAAGAATTTACTGAATGTGAACAATGCAGTTGATCTTCCTCTCACACTACTTCTAGACTGACTGTCATGTGAGATGGCTCTCCAAACCAGCATACCAATAGTGATAGTATGATACTCAACAATAAAGGTGAGGGCAAAGTACTTACCAATGGTTTTCACTCTCTAATACAATGGCCATCCATTCCCAAACAAAATTAAGATTTGTTGCTAAAGATGTAACATTGCCAATCCATAGCATTTATAATTTTCTATCACAGCATTACTGCAAAGAAAGTCAACGTTAGGGTGCTAATGGCAAAACATATAGCAATTGCTGTGCATACAAATTTGTCTCTTTTAGTCACCTGCCAATTATACAGAAAGAGATAGGACAAGTACAAGTAGCAAGGCTTCTACCTGTCTCTGGATGGTGGACAAAGTTGCTGTTGAAACTATTCATGATCAGATGGAGGTCTGTCTGGAGCATTCACAGCCTAGCTATCATGTATGTATGTTCCATAACTCATGACAGTCAGGTCAAAACAGACAAGATGATAGGCAATTCAGCAAATCAACCATCCTGCTTCCTTCAGCCTGATTTGGCCTTTCTCAAATGTTATCTGTTGTGTGTAATGTCTTTAACTTCATCATACAGGCATGTCTATCATTTGAAGACCTCCAAAGAACAGGTAAACTGAAAATTCTGAACACAGTGAGTCTCTGCCAAGTGTTTTTATAAGATATTGGTGTAGTGATTTTAAGAATTTTGGTGGTAATATGTAGTATACAATTGGACCACAGATGTAATTATTTATATACTTGTCTGAGACATAGCTGTATGCTGAATTTTGAAGTAATCAGACAATTCTATCTGGATGTATAACTTTTTGTTTGTGTATTATTAACCACATGTCTTGTAATCTCTTCCAGAAATGATAGGAAGAAACTGAAAATGTATTTACCTCACAGCCAAAATAAATAAATAATTTAAAAGGAAAAAAAAAGATTTTGTATTTATATGTAAAAGGCTTCTTCTCCCCCCCAATTTTTAGACATGAGTTTTTTTAAGGAAACATTTTACATATAAGAAACAGTAAAGATTAAAAATAAAAACAATTAATAATAATTAAATTTTACTTAACTGCAATTAATAACATTTTTTATTTTAGTGCATTCAACTTGTTCTTCTGAACAATTTTTGTGTTCAAATGAACTTTGCATTCCTAATTTGTGGAAATGTGATGGAGATAATGATTGTGGTGACTTAAGTGATGAAGTTAATTGTGGTGAGTATATATTAAATATTATCTGAAAACAACCTCATAAATAATTAATAAAAAATAAAAAAATTAGAAGTTTGAGATTTTTTGTTTTTTAATAGTTTTCAGTTGAAGCAAAACTTCTGAGCATTGATGATACCTTAATTTTAGAATAAGTATTTCAGATTTTTTTTATGATATAAAAATTAGCAAACAGAATTTGAGTTGTAGGTTTATATTTAAACTGAAAATTATAAAAATTAATCAAAAAATATGAATATATATATATATTCATATTATTAATATATATTTTAATATGAAATATTTTAAAATGTTCTGACAATTGGTTACAGCAGCAGCTCTCAAAGGAAAAATAATCACAAAATAATGTCTGTTGTTATTACATAGTAATTATATAAATTATTATACAGAATTAAAATTAATTTTTCAATCAAAACCATCATTAATCAAAACCGTACACAAAATAAGAATGATTCTATTAAGGTGATTGCATACACAAGCCATTATTAACCAGCACTGTTAAATAATGTAGTGCCATCCCCCTGTCTATAATGTTTTTCTAAATAAATATTTCCTTCATAAACCTGATCACAAAATTATATATAAAAAATGAACCAGTGACACTGATCTCAGCACTATCTATTGTTTAAATTTTAAATAATTTAAAAAAAATTAACTTTATATTTTAAAAAACCATATTTTTCTTGTTTATGTTTAAAATTGAAAAGTTTTTATTGTATTAAAAGGATTTCTAGTTTTAATTAAATTTGTTATCTAATACTTTCCAGTTTAGCTGCACATTTCCATTTAAAGTCTATTTCCTGTATAATCTTTTATATCATGTAAAATGATAAAATAGTTTTTTCAAAGCATGAATTGAATGATCCTACTTAACTAGCAAAAAAAATGGACAATCCTTGTATTTATTGACACCAGAAGAATTGATAAATGTTTTAAATTCATCAAATCATTTGTTGACACTCCCTAAGGCTTCGACTCCACTAGTGTAAAAACGGGCATAAAACCCCTCATCGTAAAAGCTTTTAATCATGTGATCATGATATTTTACACCTGAGCAGGTTGTAAAACCAGCATAAAAGTGAGTTGAGCATTGTTCAACTTTCAACATGAATATGGCCGTAAGACGGTACCCTCCACCAATCAAAAGTCAGTGAAATCTAGGTCATTGTGACATGGTGTGAAAATGGCGGAAAACGAGCTTTTGTGTATGTTCTCTCATGGCTACTCTAGAATAGGTTTGGAAAGATTTATTGAAAACATCCGAAAGTATTCATGTATCTATGACGAGGTAACCCAATTATAATAATGGGGGCTAAAACACACTATATAGATGTCCAAAGGAAAATCCTTCAATTTACAGGAGTAGGCCTATATAATAAAAAAGCTAAGCTTATAAGTGCTGTATAATATCTTAATAATACAATAATAAATGTTAATATATGAAAGTAAAGATATTATTTTTACTACATTTGTAATTATAGTACAGAAAAAATTTGTAGAATATAATCATTGCCTTTATATTGATATATCATGTATACAACCGTCATCCGTTTCCACCAATTCACATGCGAAGAAGTATTTACTTTCGACATTTGGGGCAGCACTGTCGCCGTAAAAATTTTGCTAGCCAGTCCTCCACCACAATCCAGATGCAAATGCAAATAGGTCACATGATTAAAAGTTTTTACGGTGACGTTGGTTTTTACACTAGTGGAGTTTTGGCCTAAGTTTTCTATTTATAATTGTTTTCTAATTTTACAGTTAAATTTATAATTACAATTACAAATTGTATGTAAGACTTACATTAAAAAATTAAACACAGACATTATGTAGATAACGTGATGAAATTGTCTTTCTTTTCTCTGTAAACCTTACAAGTATGTTTGAGAATTTCAATATAGCACTTCTAACATTCAATGGTGATGACTTTAGATGTAAGAAATGCTGTATTGAAATTCTTAAACTTACTTGTAAGGTTTACAGAGAAAAGAAAGAAAACACCGACATATTAAATTATAATACAGAGTATTGTAAGATGAGCATCCCATTTTATTGCACAGGGGAATGATAAACAACCAAGTGAGAGAATATTAAGTTGTAATTTGACAACCAGATGACTAAGGCAGTTAATGTGCTCACAGGACTGATGAGAGTCCAAAATGAAAAATAAATAAATAAATAAAGTTATAGTTTGATTTTCATATTTCAATATGGTGGTATGATATGATGTGGTTATGGTTCATGTTTGGTGTCATTTTAAATTTTTTGTTTTTATGTTCAATAATTGGTATTATAACAATAAGAATACAAAAAAAAACATTTTCACATACTTATATATGAAAATAGAACAAAAGCTTTTTATTTAAAAAAAACTTGGAAGTTCAATGGTCACAAATGTTAGTTTTTAAAAAAAAAATAAAAATGAATTGATAATTAATGGTGGTGTGTAGTTAAATTTAGATAAATTTCAAATATTTTAACTTGCTTTAATTATAATTATAAATCATATATATTTTGAAGAATGTTATATTCCAGGGGTGGGCAAGCAAGAGTTCAGTGGGAGCCGAAATGTAGGTTTTGCAAAATACATGGGAGCCACAGTTCTGTACTTTTTTATTCTGTACTGCGATATTATTATATAATATAAATATAATATAAAACAAATATTGAATTTTTTAATAAACATATTTTCACAAAATTGTGGAAATAAAATTGTAAAAATAATAATAATAAGCAGAAATTAACACTTTCAGCAAGAGCTGCATGTAACTCAAAAAGAGCCGCATTTGCCTATGTCTGTTATATTCTGTCAAAAATTTTTGAAGATAGTATAATAATATGCTACTTGTAAACTTGATATTTTTATCATATTATAAACATTATAAAATTAATAATTCTTATTATAATTATCATTATTTGAATTTTTAGCCTTACCAAGCTGTAGTAGTAATCAATTCAAATGTAAAAATAATCATTGCATTCCGTCAAGTTGGGTTTGTGATTTTGAAAACGATTGTGGTGATGGTTCTGATGAATCACATGAAGCACATTGCAGTGAGTATAAATCATAATATTTGAATTTTGACTAATTATACTTGTAGCCTTTACCGAATTATATTTGTTTACAGATTATCCTTCATGTAAAACTGGCCAGTTTCGTTGTAAAAATGGAAAGTGTATAAATGAAAAGTTTCGTTGTGATTTTGATGTTGACTGTTTTGATGGATCCGATGAAGAAAACTGTACTTGTAAGTAATGCTTTATTTTATTATAATTACAAATGCTACAATTTGATCAAAGGAAATTCAAATAATACAAATTTCAGCTAGTGCAAGTTTTAGTTAAATTCTTATATAAACTAAAACAAAAAATTTAGTAAAACTTTATGAAAATTAGTAACTTTTTAAAATGTATCCTTTTTTATGTATTTCTCTAAGAAGAGATAAATATTAACCCTCCTGCCACAAGGTGATGTTGTATCCGACACGTCTTGTTTGTTTTCATTTGTGCAAGAAACAGCGCTAGTGTTGGGGGGTTGTGACCATAAATTACCCTATCGGGCAGTAGTTCTCAAGACAGTGGCGTGGAAAAATAAGTCATTGACCTTCAATTTTTTTCATAATTTAGGTACTATTAGAGCGCACTCTGCTCTGGTGTCGTATACGACACCCCCTTGTGATGTATGTTATCTTTTTTCATCATGTAGGAAAAGCCTAAAGAGCTATTTTTTGATTATCTACCATTGTTTGGCAGATTACTATAGCAGAATATCAACAGTTTACTACGGACAAAGAAATTTGTCAAGAATTGTTACGATAAATCCCAATGGTCGTAATAAAAATTTTAAAAAATTTCTGTATGATGATCTGAAGATTCTTGTTTTTTTCTGTCCGAAGAAAAGTAAAACTGTAGTCCTCATATTATCCAAGCATTACACTGGCGAAATTGCCCAAATCACCCAAAAACCTGCCATAGTTGAATTTTATATTGTGACTAAAGGGATATTTTTGATAATTTATGTCATGCAAAATCTGTCAAAAGAATGACAAATTTCTGGCCTATGCGATACTTCTATGGCATTTTAGATACAGCAGCAGTAAATTCCTGTGCAATCTACAAGCTAAATATGTCACAAGAACATAGAAGCAACAACTGTTGGACTGAGTTTTTAAAGAAACTTTCTTTTTCATGGGTTACATACACCACACATAGAAAAAGGATGACATGTCCCCACATTAGTAAAACATTGATAGAAGAAATGTGCAACATCCTAGGAATAGAAATGCCCAAAGATGCACCATCACTAAATCCATCCACATCGACAAGGCCAGGAAAATGTTCTTTTTGTACACAGAAAAAGTACCAAGTGTAAGAAAAGTGTTTGTGGTGAACAAAAGAAAGTGATTTGTCTGTCATGCATATGACTAAATAAATAAAAATAACAGCATTAGTTCTTAAAAAATAAAAAGTTTCTTCCTAATTAAACACAATTTTGTATGTTTTGTAAACATACATATTTTCTTTTCATGTATATTTATTATTTAAACCAATCTAACCTAATTTATATAAGGAAAAAACAGTTATTTAGCTAAGTGTCGTATACGACACCCCCTTGTGATATGTGTCCTGATATGCCACCTTATGGCAGGAGGGTTAATAAAATTAGTACTTATCTGTTCATTATCTCTTTCTATATAAATAAAAAAAAATATTCAAATCAAAATGTTTAGTGAAGCCCTATTTTGTTGGAAAATTAAATTAAAATCCAATGAGACCTCAGTACTTTTAAGCCTTTCAGCTCATCTTTCAGGTGTTCACTTAGCAAAGAATAATCAAAAATTAAAATGAATTTAAAAGTTTTAAATCCATTTTAATTTTTACTAAAACTTTTTATGAACTTCAAACTTATGAGTAGACAAATTGCAAAACTAACGCTATCTTTAAAATTGCAGAATTTAAGAATTCCTTGTAGCTGTTACAGCAAGTCAATAACTAGCATGGATAGTTCATGGAAATTGCCATGTCTACTTCAACAAATAAATGTTTCATTTGATTCTCTCTCTCTCTCTCTCACACCTTATAAAATAATAATTTTATAAAATGTTGCAAAACATTTATGTAATAATTATTATTTAATATAGTATATTATTTAACAATTTCTAATCAATTAAAATAAAATTCTAAAATCTAATATTAAAGAAAATTAAATTCCTAAACTATTAAATACGATTTATAATTTCATTTAATAGTTATAAAATTTGACATCCTTGTTTGCTCTGATAAAATCTAAAATTTAAAAATGTTGAAAAGAAATTTTCTTTTAAGTAATAATTTGATATCCAATACAAATTATAGATGTTATTGTTAACTTAAAATTAGTAGTTAGAAATAGTTGTCAAGTATAATTTACAAATGTCTAATGTTTGCAAATATTAATTACAAATAATAATTTTTAGCACCATCTTCAGTCTGTCATCATAACGAATTTAGTTGCAATAGTTCAAAGCAGTGCATACCTAAAACTTGGAAATGTGATGGAGAAAAAGATTGCCAAGATGGAAGTGATGAAAATAACTGTGATATTAAAACATGTGAAGACTGGCAGTATAAATGCAAAAGTGGCCACTGTATATTTAGTACTTGGTATTGTGATGGTGACAAAGATTGTGAAGACAATAGTGATGAAGAAAACTGTAGTAAGTTTTAATATTATTTTAAATGTTTATAATTTGATTTATAGAAAAACTCTGAGTTATGATTAGTAAACAATTCAAAGTTTATTTTGAAAATATGTTTATTACNTTTATAAATGTAGTAAGTAACTAGTATGGTTATATCTAAAATTAAATAATTAACCTTTCAACAGTGGACTAGTATGGTTCTACCCCCAGTAGTGGAGAATAAACGTGGGAAATTTTTAAAGTATTTTTCCACGCGTTTTTTCTCATTACTGTTTCAGAAAAAGATTTTGTAAACAGTTATGTCTAGTAAAGAAAAGTCTTTTTTTATTGTTACATAATTCATTTTTTAGGTGAATTTTTATTTCACTGCAGTTTTTGGCAATATCCCCAAAAGAATTTAACAGATATATCCGTCCTTCATCACTGCCACACGGTCGCCCTGGACGGATATATCCATCCTTCACTGCTGAGTGGTTAATAGCACTGGAAGCAAAGATCGGTTTCTCTTCAGACCAATTTTTTCTTCCAGAATATTCTAAATTAAAATTAAAAGTTACTTTATTTCTAATTATTAAATTTATCAAGAGATAGCAGTTTAACTGCCTACCTCTGGCCAAATTGCTAAGTTTCTGATTATTAAGTAGTCGTAATTTAGCTCAATAAAATTTCAATATATTGTTTGGAAAATCTTAGAATTTCCTATGAAATAAAAGAAATACAGGATACCACATTTCTTATTAGAAATAATAAAAGTTGAATATATGTTATTTACACTCTAAATCGTATGAATTATAAATGTATTGTATTGTATAATAATTTAAACTTTTAAATTATATATGAAATAATTTTTTTCTTTTAAATATGATTTTATAAAAAGGATGCATGAGCTTCAAATAGTTAATATTAAGAAAATGAACCTTAATTCAAAAGTTAATTATTATTATTTTTTTAATATTTTCAATATGTTTCAATTTGTCAAAAAAAATTTTTTCTAACTCATCTCAAACAAAATTGCTTTAATTGAAGAAAAATTAATAAAAAATGTAAGCTTTTGAACAATGATCATTGTCAGGAACAACAAAATAAAATGATTATTAAGATTTGCAGACATACCAATCAATGCATTATTATAATAAAATGTTTGTTATTTATAATTTCATAATCATTTTCTGATCATATGCTTAGTAATTTAATTTTAATTTAAAATAGTTCAGTGAACAGCGTATTCAGTTATTATTGTTATTGTTATTACAGTAAACACTTATAAACTCAAACTTCACATAATATAAACACATTTTCAAAAAATTGTACAATAATTCAAAATTTCTTAACTATAGAAAAATTATAATGAAATTATGAATAGTGTTTTCAATATCCAGAAGTATTTGCAATAATGTGCATTATATTACTATAGTTGATAAGTTATTGTCATGAAATTTTTTGTGTTTATTTCCTCTAATTTAGCAGTATAACATACCAAAGCTCCCTAAAACTTCTGTATAGAGCTGTTCTTAATGAATTACTCTACTGTATATCAACCTTTTCATTTTCTACATCTTCATCCTGCTAATTTGGACTTCCGAAAGCTCAGAAAGCTTTATCTCCTATTACTCCAAGTTAGCAGTTTACTATATTTTGATTTTTTTTTCCTATCTTTTGTTTTTATCATTATTAGTTTATATATATTAAGAATATGATAGGCAGTCTTATACTTTCACACACATTTCATACTTTTCATTTTATTGATATATGTGGCAAAATGCATGTAAATTCATGTAATAATTCTTCCCTTCTCATGAACTATTAGTCAATAGTCACTCTCCACCTCTTCGACATCAATCACATTTATTTTTGGTGTCACAGGTTCAGTCTTGAGCAGGAATGTCTTGAATTAATGCATCTTGACAAATTTTTGATCATCATGAAAGAATGTGATCTCAATGGAGAGCATGTAAAGAACAATAGAAAAAGACACAGCATGTTATAGAACTCTTTATCAAGAAAAGAAAAAGAAGAGTACAATTCAATTATCTCTTGACAAATTTATAAAGAAAACACCAGATACTAATCAATAAAAATTAAAATATTTTGAAAACCTTTTTTGATGTTTTTTTTACATTGCTTTATTTTTGTACATTTCAACTTTTATACACATTTCAGGAACCAATTATATACAAAAGTAGAAGATCACATGTATTCGATTGACACATTTTTTTTTTAAGTATTGTTATTCTTTTCAAGTTTTGTTTCAGAACATTTCCTTTCTTAAACTTATTTTTTATTAATACATCACTGAATTTTTTATTGATTAACTGTTTGAATTATTATATGCTTTTTATTAACTTACTTCATTTGCCTTCTGTCCATTTAAAATAACTCAGTTTTCATCCACTTCTCAATTTCTGATCTAGTTGAAACTTTACATACATATGTATTCCTGATAACAATACATTTTTTTAAAGTTTGCAAACAACTTTAGCAACTAACAAAAAACTAATGAAAAATTAAAGTTTGTAAAAAATCTGATAACAGATGGCACTACACATGGGAAATCCTTGCTCCTTTTTAGACATACTGAATACTGTCTACATAAAACTTGTAACTCAAATTTTTATTCACTTTCCAATTAAGTGCTAAAACAAAAAGAATTATAATAGTTTGGTGTTATATATATAAAACAAACAGTACAAAATAAAACAATATTAAAAAAAGTTTTAATGAAATACTTTTTACTTGCATAAATGCACTAAAATGTAAAAAATAAAATTTATTCAGGTTTTAAAAAAATTCTTAGTATTATGCAACCAAAAATAAAAACAATGTGCTCATGAGAAGCCCATTAAAATTGACAAAGTGTAACAAAGAATATTTCTAAACATGAATGCTCACACTTATTTTTGGTCACATAATACAAAAAATACTGTGAAAGNGGTTAATTAATAGTGTTTTTAGTGATGACGAAGAAAACATTGTTTAATTTATATTAATATGTATCACTTTAAAAAATTTTAATGAAGATATTTATCTTAATTATGAAAATATACTAGCATGTTTTTTAATTTTTGGAACCTAACCCTCCTTTTCGTACTAGTTCTTTGTTTCTTATAACAAGGATTCGCATAACACGGCAATTTTTTGGAATGTAACTACCGTGTTATACGGGGGTTACCTGTACTTCCAAAACAGAAATATATTCTTGCATTTGCTATTAGATAAATAATTTTTCTTCTTCCAAAACCATGTTGACTATTTAGTTGAAATGTGTTTTATTTTCAATATTTTTGTTTAGATGTGCATTCTAAAAGACTTAAGCTGCTAAGAGAAATAGGCATTACTGAATTTTATTGTTAAAATAGATAATCTAAGTTTTTATTGTTAATTATAAATTTCTATTAATTTCAGAAAATGAAAAGGTTTCGACTTCAACTGGATTTCCTTTAACTACAAAGCAGCCAGAAAATTGTGGTGAAGATCGTTTCAGATGCAATTCAGGTAAATATTTGTTGTTAATTTATTTTTCAAATTTGATTATTGATATCAGTAATTATTGTAATTATTTGCATACTTTATTCACATTCTTCTTATGACTTATAAAGTATGAGTTAAAATTTTTGAATAATTATTATATTGTTTCTGATAGATTATAATTTATAGTTAATCAAACATTAATTGCTAAAGATAGATAATATATAAAAATGAAAATTTACATGCTGCATGGATGTTTAAGTGTGATGATGGTAATTGCATTCCGGGCTTGTGGAGATGTGATAAAGTAAATGATTGTGATGATAATTCTGATGAACATATGTGTGGTAGGTGATTTAGAATTATTTGACATTAATTTCAGTGTGTTTTTTATTTATAATATTAGCAGCTGTGTAGTGATGATAAGATAATCACAGTGTTAATTCTTTAAATAATTATTAAATTAATTTTTATGATTATAAATAAGATAATTTTTATCTTAAAAATATATCTAACTCACTGTAAGGGAGTCTCTGTATTATAGTAGAGCATCGATTATCCGACCCCCGATTAACTGTCACCTCGGTTAACCGACCGTGTTCTAGTCGGCAAATTCAAATGTCTGCTAGTGATGTGGCGCTACAATATTTGGCTATGTCTTGGCTACTTTTATATTATTTTTACACGTTTTAGCTGGCAACACTGGATCGACCATGAAAGGGAGCCAGTATTTAAACGAGGCTTAATTTTATAATTTTTAAGGATACAATAGCGACGATTATTATTTTTTTAAAAAAAATTTGATAGGCTTAACATGGAGGAAAATTCAGCGTGAAGTATGTTAATAGCAATATACTAATTACAGGGGTTATAATAATATACCACACTAATAATGGATTTTTTCATACTTTTCGGTTATCCGACTTTTCAATTATCCGACCAACCCCAGTCCCCAATTGAGTCGGATAATCGATGCTCTACTGTACCTGTACCTGTAAACAAAGGACTAAGATCACCATTAAAGTATTGCAAATGAAAGAACAACTCATTTTTTTTATTTCAATTAATTTCAACAACTCAGTCAGTCCATGTCATATGTATATTTTGAAAAAGAATACACATATTTTTGTTCTGAACTGTGTTCCAATTTGAATGATATTAAATAGAACAAAATTTTATGAAGTAATGGTTTGAAGATAAAGCATGAAATCTTCAAAAATTATTACAAGTAACTATTAACTTACTTTCTTAAATGAGTTAGATATATTTTTAAATTTCATTATTTGCTTAACTCTTACATAGACCAATCTATAATTTAATGCTGATTGACAGATATATTAATACAGGTAACCCCCGTATAACACGGCACTTGTATAGCACGGATTCACTCTAACACGGTTCGAGAATTGGTACCATCCCCCGTATAACACGGTACTTTTATAGCACGGATTCACTCTAACACGGTTCGAGAATTGGTACCATCCCCCGTATAACACGGTACTTTTATAGCACGGATTTACTCTGACACAGTTCGAGAATTGGGTAAAACTCTCGTACAACAGGAAATGTAATAAATTTTTACATACTTAAGTAATAATAGTTTACGAAAATTATTATTTTCGTGAACTATTAGTACTTAAGTATGTAAATTTTCTCTTCTTGCCTTCTGTCGAGACACGTGGTCCTTCTTGAAACTTGTTTCAATGTTGCCAGATCGCGACGCTTCTGCTTCTGATGTTGCCGAATGTTTTTCCCTTATTCCATACTTGCTTTATTCTTTGTTCGTGCTTAGCACCATATAAGGAAATTTATAAAGACCTTTTAACTAGAAGCAAGCAATCTAAAATTACATACATTTTGCAAAAGGTAAAGCATGGATCTGAAGATAATGCA